GAAAAAACCGGTGCGCATACGCATACATAGACACATATACAACAATAACAACTTGTGTGCACAACACACAAACGGTGTGCACTCGAGATTGGCTATTCCTTCAACATAACGAGTGGCTCTTCGTACGTAACAATCTTCAGCTCATTTTTTTTTCTTCTTTTTCTCCTCCTCCTTTTTTTTTCAAGTGCCCATTCGAGTAGCGATCCTTGAAAACCAGCCTGTTGGAGTGGTCCCTCATGTGCGGCATCTTCTAATCTAGAGAGAAGGAGAAAAGATAGACGAGAAAGAACATAAAAAAAAAGAAGGAAAAAAGCGGACAAATACATTTTCATATTTTTTATCAACTATGATGAGCATATCCATCTTTCCAATAATGTTGAGAAATGGTATATAAAATTAACAAATACAAATTTTTCAATTGATCTTCTTATTAATAATATTCGTTTTTTTTAACATTTCTATTTAGAATATCAATATGATGAACGGAATCAAACACGAATTAGTTGGTTCAGCATCGGCAGCCGCTGCAGCAGCAGCTGCTTATCAAAATCCTTTACTCTATGCTCCAACACCATCATGGATGGGCTCAGAAAATTTTCCAGGTAAAATAAAAAGATCAATCGATATTCTTGATCAACAATTGTATTTTGTCTTGAGGTTTATTAAATTTTCTTTTCTCCGGATATTACTTGATCTTACCGGCGGATGCCGAGCATTTAAAATAGAAAACATTAAATTGTCTATTTAATTTATTCATAAACATGTGAGGTCTTTTTGTTTTTAGAAATGAACAGTTTTGGTCTTTATCATCCACATTCTTATCCAACAAGTTATGATAGACATCATCATCATCATCATTCTGTCTCAACATATTCTTCATTAGCTGCGGCTGCATATCGTAATTCAATATCACCATTAAATAATGATTTTAAAAATGAAAAAGTCGAACCATATATACCAAATTCAACTACAATACATCATAGTCCTGTTCATTGTGTACCATCAACATCGACACTAATGCCAATAAAACCTCAATTTAATTCAATAGATGATGAAAAAAATTCTTCAACATCATCATCAACATCAAAACTACTTGATAATGATGAACAACAATCATCGACACGCGTTTCACCAACACCAATAATAGCGAATAAGAAAAAATCGAATAATTCAAATGAATTATCAACTGGTGGAAAAAAACGTAAAAGACGAATTTTATTTACTAAACAACAAATAGCAACACTTGAGCAACGTTTTAATGCTCAACATTATTTATCAGCACCTGAAAGAGAATTACTAGCTAAACATATTGGTTTAACAGCCAATCAATGTAAAATATGGTTTCAAAATCAGTAAATATTTTTATCTTTGAAATTTATTTTTTATTTGTCTTTTTATTATTCTAGTCGATATAAACTTAAACGTGCTAAACAAGAAAATTCTTCAAAAACTGTTTCTTCCTATACAGATCTTTGTTTTGATCCAAATAATTCGCCTCCACCACCTCCAACTCAACAACCTATTCGACGTGTACCTGTTCCATTACTTGTTCAAGATGGTAAATCTCTTTATGGTCCACCAGCTTCATCATCATCTCCAACATCTTCTTCACCATATGGAACTATGCTTAATGATTCAGGTACAACATCCTCAACAAATCCTCCATCATCATTCGATCCATTAGCATATAATGTTTATATGTCATCTATTGGTTATCATCATCATCATCATCAATATCCAACATCAAATGCACAATTTCATAGTCAATATGAAAATTGTTTAAGACAACAACAAACTGGTCAACCATCAGCTTGGTCAACAAGTGCCTGGCCATAATAAAATTGGATTTTGTTTTCTTTTTTTTCGTTTTCTTCTTTTTTTTTGTACAGTTTTCTTTTCTTTTTTTTTTTGTTTTCTTACAATATTCACAAATATATTAATTAAAAAATCAACTGTCAATCATATGATTATTTTCTATTGTTCAAAATAGTCAAGTGGAGGATATATTTGCATACGATGTCACCTATATTGTATATGTATGACACTCGTCACCGTGAAAATTGTGTTAGATATTTTTTTTAAAAATTCCACTATATGCATCTTTAATTAATGATTTTGTGTTTTAATTTGTTTCAAGTAGTGAGATATATATAGATAAGAATTTATTCTCATTGGTTCAAATCAATATTTACATTGATAAGAGAAGAATAAAAAAATGATAAATTTCTTTTTGTCGGTTAAACGATTGAAATTTGTAAGATGGATCGAAAATGAATTGGATTTGCTGCTTATTCTACAGAAGAAGAAAAGAGGATAGATTTGTTTAAATGAAATAATGATTTTCTAGTTCGATGAATACGCTCCTCCTTTCGCACGGTCGATCATCAATTGATTTGATTAGATGTCTGTTTTTTTTCTTTTAAGCATAAATTACAAACATTATGCTTCAGTAATTTATTATGATCGACTCGAAAACAAATATATTAAAAATCTTATTTCTCTTCCATAGGAAATTTTTAATTTAGTCATTTTTTGTTTTACAATAAACGAACGATTTGGTTTTATTATATGAATTCATTGTTTTTATCTTTGCATACATACTAACTGATATACATATATATAAAAGAGAGAGAAATAGGTAAATATTGATATTCATAAAAAGCGAGACGAATGATCAGAGCACGTTTATCAATCGTTTATATATATTCTTTCAAGATAAACGTTATTCTTTATTGTTTGTAAGAGAATATTTATTCTCAGACTAGAAAATCTATAACTTTATTAAAAAAAAATGGTTTGTGATATAAAAATGATAGATTACGATCGTAAATGAACCATAAAGATGATTGTTTTGATCTTTGCGGTAATGATTACGTAGTGATTTATAACCATTTCCCAAGCATAAATATCACTATGTCAAACTCATTGAGAATACAATGGTTATATATAGATTTTTATTAAAATAAAAAGTATTCTGACTGATGAAGGAAGCGTTTCAACTGTTTACGAACATTTCCATTTAGCTACGAATAAGATTCTTTGCGAAAGATGAAGACATAGATATCTTTTGAAGTCTCTTTTTCTTATAGAGAGGGTCAAGTCAAGTAAGCTCCAAATTCGAAGTTTACGGGTTTTTCGACAAATTGTAGCTTGTAAGTGTGTCCTTTTTTTTCTTGAGCATCATTAGCCGACTCAGCACAGTCCAGAGTATCTATTAGAACAATTAGAAACACATGATTACAGTTTTCAGATAGAGCTTTTCGCAAAAACTTAGACATTCGTAAGCTTCAAATTTGAAGCACACTTGACTTGACCTATAAAGTGTCCAGCAAGTATGATTATGTAGTAATATATGTTCAACATTGTTATAGAATTATGTATGACTATAGTTTTATATTAGATCGAGAGAGACAGACGAATGATATTATATATTTGTTTTACTTTCATAAGGTAGAAATACGTTTCGAGTATCACTTCAATACTATATGAATATTTTATCCTTGAATAGAAAACTGATGTATATTTAATGATGACAATATAAAAAATTTGTTTATATCAATTTATTTCATTATATTTTCAAATTCATCTTCATTATTTTTAGTTATTCTATCTGGTATATCAAGATTTAATTTTTTTAATAAAACATTTTCTAATTCTTGTTTTAATAATTTATTCGTAGTTCTTAATTGTTGTAATTCTAAAGGCACAATTGTATTTATTGTTTGATATCTATATTGATTTGATGATTTTAATTTCGTATAGAATTTCAGAATATTTTCAAAATGATCTTCACTATTAATTAATTGTTTTTTTAATTGTTCGATATCATATTCTAAATGTTCAATTTGATTATTTAGGTTTTTTTTAATTTGTTCATTAAGAAGATATGTTCGTATTGCATAAGCATTTGCACTTAAATTATTATTTGAATAATCTTTTATCATTTGACGATATGTATTACAAATACGTGATAATAAAATTCCACGTTCACTACATTCAATAGTTACTTGTCGAATAAGTTCGTCGAAACATTCATTATAAATTTCACGACGGTGATTACATAAACCAACTTCATTAGCTTGAGATAGTTTTAAACGATGATTAAGTTGTTTTTCTAAATGATAAACATCAGTTTTTGTTGCTGGATTACGTGAAACACATAGTATCTATATTCGCAAAAAAACAAAATAATAATTTTATAGAAGAATTTGAACATACATATTTATGATTTGTTTTATTGAAAAATTCAATCGGTGGAAAAAGAAAATCTAATATATCTGCAGGTCGACAAAAATCTGAATATGGATCAAAAAGATTTAATTTATTGTCATAGAATGATATTGGTTGAACAGATGGAGAAATAGTTGCTCGGCAAATTTTTTTATAATCTGTATTTGATATATCATGATTAACAAATAAACGTGGAGATTCATATTGAAGAAGAGACGTTTTTCGATAGATAATATCATTTGATTGATATGAAAGTTGACGATGACTACAACTCATGTCATTTGATCTATTGGCGCCAAACAAGTTTCATTTTAGTTAGAAATAAAAAGAAAAAATCCTGTTTTTTCTCAATGATTTTTTTTTGATAATAGATATTTTCGTAGGGTTCACCGGGACAGAAATTGTATTTCTTAAGTTATTGCCGTAACTAGAATTGAAGAACTCGTCAAGAGCACTCAGAATATTTTATTGTTTCAAAAAAAGTTTTATGAATATAAAGAATTATCGAATATATCTATTAAGATATATTTCTAATTTTTTGTGGAGAGTATCATGGACAATTCATTTGAACACATGTGACTGAGTATCAAACAGAAATCGAGATAAAAGATTTTGCATAAAACTTAATAGAATTATATTGATACAATATGGCGCAAGATTTAAATTATTAAATTTTTGTTTAAAATAAGTTTTATTGGTTTTCAAAAACGAATGGTAAGTGAAGAAAAGTTTTATTGTTGTTCAATTAATTTTTTCTGAGAACAATAGAATTTACATGTTTTTCTCTCATGTATAGATTTTAAAGCAGAAAAAAAGATTTCAAAAACAGATCATACCTTTTAACTATTACGGTAATAGTTTAAATCTGAACGAAAGACTTCGTATGATTATATAGTTATCATCTATTCATAGTTTCTTACTTGAAAATTAGGATGATGTTTACAATAAAACTTTTAATATCTTGATTTTATTCCTAAATTGATAAAAATCATATGATACACTTGACATTCACATCTGTTTTATTATATCAAAGAAAATTGAAATATCTTGTTACTATACTTTCCTATTTGTTTCTAAATTCTTTCAATGCAATGAGAATGTATCATAGTCATATAAATGTTACTACAGTATTCAAACAAACTATAAACATGTTACACGTATTTGTATATGTTATGATAAATATTAACTAAATATATCTGATTGATACATACAATATGCTACATTTCATGTAATACTCAACGTAGAAAGTTACATGTTCCTTCCAGTCAAACGATAATATGGTACTATTGTCATTTGTTTGTTTATACAATGTGAAAGTTCACTTCGGTACTTTTATTTAGTAGTATTTAAATAATCATACATGGAAGTAAAAGTTTGCCATTTTATGTGAACTTTTCAGTAATGATATGAAAAAGGTTTTGATTGTTTTTTTTATTTTCAACATTGTGTTTTATATACGACTATATATATACCTTAAACATTTAAAATGTTTCTGAGTAAAAGAATTGTTGTCTGAAAGTGAGTATATATTAAAATATAATATTTTTCTATTCTTATAATCGTAAAATGATCAAATCGATTGTCTATTCGTTTTCGATAAGGAAGATCATATTAATTAGTAATTCCCTTTTTTTAATAAAATATTATTATTGATATTTATGACATTTTGATAGACGATGCAACCTTTGTCCGACTGACTGTATCAAAAGAATTAAATCAACATTCGACTTAAATACAAATATAAAAAGTACTTGAATACACCCAACATTTTTCTTTTCTGTTGCTATTTTTGATAGTGAATCGAAAGAAAAGATAATACACAGTCACTTGTGATAGCTATCACTATCATGCTGATTTACTATAAAAGTGCATCGATTGTCAAAATATCAATAATAACATCCTATTGAGACAGAGAATTACTATACACTTATTAATCAATTGTCTATCTATGCTTACAAGCAACAGATATAGATCTATAAGAATAAACCTAAATATCAACGTATGTAAATATTTTTAGTTCTTACTATGTCTTATCTAATATTTCTCTTTTTTTGCCTTAGTTATACTATATCAGAACAGATTAATATCATAGTTCTTCTTTTCTTATATTGTTCGAATCATGACACAACGATATATTCTATTATCAATTATAATTCATTGGATTCTTTTTATGTGTCACATTGAAATAATCTCATCAACAGATAATTCTCGTTTATTAATTATTTCACTTGATGGTAAAAAAAAACAAGATATTATTAGTTTATTTGTTTTTTTGTCTTTATTTTAAAAAGGATTTCGTCATGATTATTTAAAAAAACATGTACTTCGAACATTGAATCAAATACAAAATGAAGGTATTAAAACAAAACACGGAATGGAACCAACATTTGTTACAATGACAATGCCAAATCATGTATCAATTGCAACAGGTAGAAGGAAAAATATTTTATATTTATTTTATATCTTAGAAATATTTTTAGGGATGTATCAAGAAGATCATGGTATTATTCATAATCGATTTAATGATACAAAACTTAAAAAATTTATAACATTTAGTAAATATAAAAATACTATTAATTTTTATTTTGTAAATATTTTTTCTTAGATACAAAAGATATAGGACAATGGCCTGATCATAAGGTAGAACCTTTATGGATTACAGCTGCAAAACAAGTACGATATTATTTTCTATTGATTGTGAGCTAGAAAAAATAAATCAAATTAATTTAGTATAAAAAATCTGCTGTACTTTATTGGCCAACATCTCATAATGAATTCAATGGTATTCGTCCATCATATTATACTTCGAAATATTCAGATTCTGTTCCATTACGTGAAAAGATTGATGATGCTATTACATTTTTTAGTGAATTTTCTTTTCAACTTGTTATGCTTTATCATTTGTAAGTTTGTTACATTTAAACAATCATTTCTTTTATTATTTAATAGTGAACCTGATAAACAAGGTCACGAATATGGACCTAATTCAAATGAAATTCGTGAAATAGTTCGTATTTATATTTCAAATCCGTTTTATTTATAATTATCATTTTCTATTTTATACAGCTTTTACGTCTTGATAATGAACTTGCTCATTTGTTGAAGAGAGTTAAAAAAGAACTTAATGATGATTTAAATATTATTATTCTATCAGATCATGTATATTAATAATGAAGATATTAAAAGATAAGAATATTTGCAATCTTTTTCTTATTCTAGGGAATGGAGGAAACGAAACAATTAATTCAACCATTTCTCGATGGTTATATCGATAAATCTGCCGTTGAAGATAATATACTTGATGGTGCATTATTTAGTGTCACTCCTCGTTTAGGATATGTAAGTTGTTAGTTAAATAGACTGATTTCTTTTGATGAAAAGAGGCACATTGAACAGTGAATTTTGAAATCCTTTCATAAGTATTACATAATTTAACAAGTAACGCTCGTCCGAGAACTCGCTTAGCTCTTTCTCGTAGAAATGCATCCTCTTCACATTTACTGGGAAAACAATTGAAAACCGTAAAAAATAGGTTTTCGATGTTTTTTTGACCTATGCACCCTCCTTACACTCGCCCTTCATCATGATCACCCAACAGACCTCATATTCGAAGTCCCCGCATCGAAATACCTCTAGAAATGTCTTTTCCTAAAAATAGGTTTTCGATGTTTTTTTGACCCTGCGGGCACACAAGCAGGCAATTTATGTTTCCTGGACTCTTCTCTACGAGAAAGAGAAAAAGAGATTTTATTTTTACAAAATTCTAGTTTAAACAAGTATTCGATAATTTAACTCGTATTCCTAATGTTACTGTTTACAAACGCGATGAATTTCCAGAAAGATATCATTATGCAAAAGCAATTCATCGAATTGGTGAAATAATCGTTATGCCTAATAATGTAAACACTTTTTTTTCTCAAGTAAAACAAAACTTCTGTTGTCATAATTTCTTTAAAACTCATTCATTTATTTTTGTACATTAGAAAACAGTGTTTACAAATGTCTCAAAAGGTAATCATGGATATGATAATAAACTTCCATCAATGCAAGCAATATTTATGGCACGCGGCCCAGATTTTCAGCAACATATTGAAATAGATTCATTAAAAAATGTCGATGTTTACCATATAGGTTGTAAAATTTTGAATCTAAAACCAAATCCTTATGCTACAGCTGGATCGATTAATAATTTAACTCATATTTTTCGTAAAAGAACAAATAAATGTTCGCAATTGTTTATCGACATGTCCGTAGTATTATTTGTACTATTTTTAGATTTTGCTTTTTAGTTTAATTATAATATTTCATAATTATTTAATTTTTAATTAAAAAAGAAATAAACAAACACCCAGTGTATTCATAGATATATTAGGATAAAATAGGAAATCTTGTGTTTGACTAAAGAGATATGTAATAATAGAATGAGATAATATTTATAATGCCATGACCGCATAATTGATATTATTAAAGATTTTGAACTGAATGCGACACAGGCTATTGAGTAGCTAACAAAATTATAGGCTAAAGTCGATATTCCATTTTATGATTGATAAAATTAGATTTTGTGAAAGACGATGGGTTCATCACTAATAATTTCTGTTTCAAGAAAATGCTTTTGATTTATTCAATAAAATGAACGAAAATAAATTTATATTAACTTGAACGACCTACGAAAAGGAAATTTTACCACAGTCATCTTTTCTTCTTAAAAAAACTCTACTGAATGCTTCTCATTATATCTTTTAACGGATGAGACTTTTCTCTTGAGATATAAGTCTCTTTTTCATACAAGACAGCGGTCTATCAAAATACACAGAAAGACAAACATTCGGCATATATCTAACAGGATTTAGTATTTGAAATCTCTGTACAAAATTAATATTAAAAGGTTGCATAGTATTCATAGTGACAGACTTTACCTACATGTACAATCTTATCTATCTATATGTATATCTGAATAGACATATTCATTAAACGATAGACTTACATAGTGTCAAACTTCATCTTTTGTTTTCTTGTGTCAGACAAACTTTCCTATATATTCATCGAATGTCTCCTGCCAAAAAAAAACACGTACATTTATATTGTTGAGTAGTGTGAACAAGGCGTCAATTATTCACCGGTATATTCACACGTTGTACTATATAGGTACAAGATCAGAGAGAGTCATTATTTAGTATATAGAAAAGCATGAACGAAAACTATAACACATCCGAATATACATTATTTGTCTTCAATTATCAAATATGCACATCTGATCATGTATTTAGTGGATCAAAGCTTATTTTCTTTTTTTTTATATAAACCATCATCGATCTCCATTATGAGTACGCGTGTCACTTCGCTTTAGGCAGAAATCGAGCGCAACATTTGTCTGTCGCGTGTACCTATATATATATATACAGCTCATCCAACAGTGTTGCCGACACACCTTGTATAATAAATGTCGAAGCAATGAATATAGATGTATATGATTTGTTCTTTTGAAGTTTGTTAGCGAGAATAATACTATCGATCACGTAATCGATCAACGAACGAGAAAATTGATAGGCGGTTGATATCGAAATACTTACTATTTTCCATTATTTAATCCTCCAGCTAAGGGCGTATAATAATGATATTATAATCAAATAAAACAATTCACAGTTAAATTTTCTCTCATTTTCTTTCTATGATTTCGAGTGTATATGTGAAAAAAGACGTACACCATCTGTCTAGTTTTTCGTTTTAAATAAAACATTGATAAAAATATAAAGAAGGAAAAAAAAAAGGCGAAGAAAATGATCGACAATACAAAATAAAATCTGATGACTTTTCCTGATTAAATAACACCTTGCATGCTCCTATTTCATGGTTGACGATCATCATATGATGTAATGTGAATAATAAGATGGAACAATACGAACTTTCTATTGACATTTCTAATCACGAAGATATGAATCACACATTCATAAATATATATACAATACATACGTAGGCATGCGTATGCGTCATATCATATCTCATCAGCAAATTATAGACAATGATCAGAATGTGTTTGTTGCTTTAAGGAAAAGAAAAGAAGATGAGACATGTCATTTAGGTATGAAACTCATGTTGAAGTTAATTAGAAGTTTATTTCTACTATCATACCGAGAGATTTCAGTCATAAATGAGCGCTAAAATTAGAGAAAAGTATGTCACTGCTTTTTATTTCATGACTTCTGTGTTTTTTCACTTAGAAAATAAAACAATTTTTTTTATCAGTAAAAACTAAAACAAACATCCTGTTTGGTCTATTTTCTTATCTATTCATTTTCAAACTTCCTTTTATTAAATTGATAATCAATATTGAGATTTTTTCTTTTTTCTCGTTTTATTATGACCACTAAATATTTTAAAAATATAGAGAAATAATAATAATAATAATAATACACAACTAACTACAATAAATTATAGTTATAGTCATATACAATAAAAACATAAGTTCAATCAAAAATGTGTTGGATAATAAAAATTAGGATGATGTTGTGAGATAATTGTTGATGATGGATAAAATTGTTGAGAATTTAACATAAAATGTTGATCATCAGAATAAAATTCATGTGGATATGTTTGTGGTGGTTCAGGTAAAATTGCATGTCTATTAGGACTAATTTCTTCAATACTACTAGTTGTTGCATCATTACCATATGATGAAGTTTGATCAAAGCTACTTGAACTACATATCATTGCATCATCATCGCTTTCACTTGTTGTATTATTATGATTTATTGTTGTTGATCCTGGTGAATGATGAGATCCTTTTTTTAAATTAATAAATTCTAATGGATTTCGTACTCTTGGATGCATTGATGATAACATATATGTTTCATCCATTGTAACCATATTTGTTGAATAAGAATTATCATATTGTTGTTGCTGTTGTTGTTGTAATATACGTGGATTTAAGCAAAGTGTTGCAGCAACAAGATTCATTGTATTTGGTGATAAACCTTTACATAATAATTGAGCAAAATGTGTATTATCAGGTATTTGATCATTTTGAACCATTTCACCTAATGCTTCAATATAATTTTTTGCTAAACGTAATGTTTCAATTTTCGATAATTTTTGTGATAATGCAAAACATGGAATTGTTTCACGTAAGACTTCTAATTGTTCGTTAAGACCTTTCATACGTTCACGTTCACGACCATTTGCTTTAATTCGTCGAACTTTAAAACGTGCAACGCGTGCTGGTGTCATTTGTTTCTTTTTTGGGCCACGTTTTTTTGGAATTTTAACATCAGTTGTTGGTATTAATTTTTTATTTACTATTGGCGGTATTATTGTTGCTGGTGGTGTTACAAAATGAGGATGAGTATGAGGATGTTGATGATGATGATGATGAGTATTTTCCTTCATACATTCTACACCTTCATGATATTTTATTTCAAGTTCAAGTTGTTGTAATTGTCGTTGTTCTTCTTCACGAGGAATTTTTGTTGGCATTTTCTTTTTCTAGAGAAATTAACTTACTCAACTGCGTTCGTTGATTTAAATGAACAGAGTAATGAAGAAGGAAATGTCTCCTTTTCTCTTTCTCTCTCTCTCTTTCTCTAGCGTTTATTTTCTTCTACTGATAAATAAGAAACAGGAAGAGAGAAAATTCAACTTAGAACCAATAAAAATTAATCATAGAAAAAAAAAGAATCAATGATTGGTTCTATTAATACTTGTGAGATATGAGCTAATTTAAATCTTTTGAATATGATAGATCGAATGAAGAAAGGATGGACAATGTCGCGTGTGGGATGACTTATCAAAAAGAATAAACTAGCATGTGTGTTTTTTAGACCATAAAAGAAGCACAAAGGGATGATACTTCTCTTTCGTCGTCGCTTTTCATCCGATTGTTTTGGATGTATTTGAATGGAAAAATAGTAGCGCATGCGCATGCTTTCATCATGAATAAAGAAATGATAAATGCTAATTTTCGAAGGCCAACTGTTCCAAAAAAGAAAATAAAAACTTAATTTAATTAGGGTCAACATTAGCCTTTTTTCTTCAAGGTCACAAATTAGTTGACCGATCTTGATACATATCTTATTCATTGACGGGCTCTTGAAAAACATCTAAGCATATGAACGTGATCATCTTGAATATAAAAAGAATATCTTATCTTTGTCAAAGAAGGTGTTCAGATATATCCCGCATCAATGATTAACTGACTATTTCATTGTCAAAAAATCAACAAGCATAAACAAACGAAATTATATCATCGTCTTACACATATAATATTCATTTCCTGATTAATATGAAGAACAAATCTGATGTAATCTTATATATATGGATGAACAAGCAAGTGTTAGGAGTATTTTACGTCAATAAATATATTCATATAAAATTCTAACGCTTTTAATAAAAAAAAATTTTTTTTTTCTATTTCAATTCATAAGAGAATTAAACTACATTGTCAACTTATCATGAGTAAAACAATTTTCTAACTCGTTCGTCACTTCGATTTTTCTAATTGTCTACTAATGCACAAGAGATTTCATTTTATCAGTTTCAATATATATATATATATGTGTGTTCAAGGTGGCAAACAGTCATCTCGATAATCGTGTGTCGTGTCGTTATCAGTCAAGTTAATCAATGTCATGTGGTAGCTCTATAGCAGTAAATTCAACATTAACAGACATATGGCATAGTATTTGCAATAGTTTTACAGCTCTTAACTCGAGAGGAACACAGAAAAAAAGAAAGATATGAGACAAATGAAGGTGTAATCAGACAAATAAAAATAAAAAAAAGTCAAATAATTTCTTTTTTTTTTGACCAACTGCTGGTTTATATTTTTTCTTTATCGGCGCGTGTCATCCCTTATCGACTAGTTTCTTTCAACACCGTGAGTGGTCATCATTCAATTGCATTCCTTTTTGATCAATTAATAAACGGAACTTTTGATTTTTCTTTATGTATATTGCAACACCAGTAGCATCTCTTCTTTTGTTTCTTTGAAGGACATATGTCATGAAAAGCGTGTCCATCTGTAGTAAAATTTCATTTATTCATGTTGTTTTTTCCTTAGTAAATACTAAATTTATTGTTTGAAATACTCATAAACCTTTTTATGTAAGTGTTGAACTAGGATCGAATATATCTCATAACAGTTATGCATGCTGAGACGATCAAACAGACACTTTTCTCAACTAACTAGTGCTTATCGATGATGTAAGTTTTTTTTTTAATTTCAAGGACAGCACCATTCTGTTCTGTTATTCTTTCGATATCAGTTCTATGCCGACAAAATGTATAAAAAAAATGAAGGAGAGATTCGCTAATTTGTCACCTCTTTTTTCGAATGGGTACTGAGATCACATCATATAAAAAAATTCAATTGACTGTAACTAATAAGTGATGTTCTTTGAATATCAAGGATTAAATCATTTTCTTTTTCTTTTTTGTGATATTTATATGATGTAAAAAAGAAAATTGATATGAATTAAATATTCTTGTATACGTTTGTTTGTACAACGAGACACGGAAGGCGTGGTACTTAAATTATGTCTATTGATTAAACTAATGCTGTTCTCATCATGAACAAATTACATATTACTTCCTTTACCATTCATCGAACTGTATCAAATGTTGACCATAGGACTCATATATACACACACACACACTTGTTTGTCTGTTCGACCTTATCTCCTTTTTCTCTCTCTCTCTCTCATTCCCAGTGGGCATACTGGTGACTGATTGATAAACATAGACTATGTATAAGGAATGGGCAATTGAATCGCGAGTGTACATTCGAACAACACAACAGGACGTTAATAGCATGGCATTGACAACACAAGGGACTAGTAGTTCTATAGAGTGAGAAGGAGGAGTAAAAAAAAAGAAAAAGAGGGAGGTGTTGTTTTCCTTGTCCTCCTCCTTCTCTTCTTCGTCTTCTTCTCCTCTTTTGTATCACATCGAACTGTACAATACACTTGTCACATATTCTAATCAATTTTTTTTCTCTATCTGAAATTGTAGCCGATAAAAATAGATCGAACTCGAGGCGAATAAACGGACATATACTAATTGCATTCAATGATAGAGACACTTGCCTAAAGAGTTCATCTATAATATGAACATTTGTATTTTGAGTTTAATATAATTAGTCAGAAAACAATATGGCTAATTTTAAGTTTCCTTTTATAAGTCATGAAGAATTATAATAATTTTCAAAAACAAAATAGAATATTAAGCAGAAGTATTTTATCGTTATTGATCGCTGTTTTGCATAAGTCTTCTATTAAAATATTTTACTAAGAAAAAATTTTCCAATAAAAATAATAGTAAGACTAATAATAATTATAATAAATATGAATTGACAAAATTGAATAAGTTTTTCTGATTGAATTAAATTTCGATAGAATCGTAAAGCATTTGATTGTATATTGTGAGCATGAGATTTTATAAGAAATCCATCTTTAATAATTTCATCAACTTTTTCATCTGTTTCTTTTAAAAGAATCCCAGCATTAATTGCTTCATTTCGAATATCATGATATTTTTTATCTAATAAAATTGTTGAATGAATAACTGGAGAATCTCCAGTTCGAATATTCAATCTATCCACTATCAATAAATTCGATATAAAAAAAATAGCCTTGACAACTGAATGATTAAATAAATATTTAAGTAAATCTTCACATCATATAGAATTTTCTTTTTTTTTCAAATCTTTCGAATTGCGTGTGTAATCAATATTCCGAATAAAAACGAGACATTTTTATGTTTACACTGATTAGTTAAACAACCTTGATTAAACACTCGGAATTAATAGACTATTTAAATTTTATTTTCTTTATCATAGCCTTGAAAAAAATATAAATTCATGTTATAATAATACTATATCAGTTACCTTTTTGTAATATTAATTTTTTTTTTCGAAAAATATTATACTATCATGTTGTTTTGACATAATATTGTGTTGTAGTACATGATATTTACAACTATATCTGTTTGATCCCTGTTTGACGAATGGATTAGATATTCGTTTTTTTAATTTGCATGTGTTGATATTTAAATAATTATAATGAATAAAAATATTTAACATATTCCTATAAAACTAATAAAACAAGTTCTCATATGACTACCTACTTGTAAATTTACAGATGAAAACATCGAATTAGCTGTATTTATTATACTAAATAACCTCAAGGTTTTCATATGATTTCTCATTAGCAAAAAAAATAGAAAGTATTTAATATTAGATTTTTATCTGAAATAGTATTAAAAGAATTTTAGTGGATAAATTTTATTATAAAGAAAAGAAAATACAATGTTTTTTTCTTTTCATACAAAAGAATCAATACGTGATAAATAAAAACCAATGAGGTCATAAAAGGCACTTGAAAAACTGCTATACAAGTAAAATAAAATAGGAAAAAAAACGAAGAGAACGTGAGAGAGAGAAAGGGTATAGTATATATTAATCATTGACCGTGTATTGCGTTCATATTATTGTTTTTTTTTACGAATTTTATTTATGATGATCGTCCAACTTTAAATACAAATACACTGTAGAGAATTAATGATAAAAATGTGAAGACTAATGAGATAATTTCTAGTCCAGTTGACCAATCCACTCGTACTTTATATGCATCACGTGCACGAGATCTAAGTGTTGGTAGATCGGAACCTTTAAAAATAAATTAGAAATTAAAATTGATTTATAAAGAATTTTCTAATAGAAATCGTATTGTTTTTTTCGTGTTGACTCTACACTCATAAATAAATTAAAAACATACATACTTGTATCTGGATAATAACGTACAAGAGTCATTATATCTCGTGATAAATAACATCCGATAAGTATAAGTGTAATAAGAATAAATATAAATGTTAATATAAGTAATATTAATGGAAATAGACCAAGAACCAAGCCTATTGAACGAGTTTCAGATGTATTAATCGAATGAATGAATAGAATAATAATCGCGAGACCAAGAAAGATAGAAGCAATGATTGCACATGCTGCAATACCTTTTGTCGATGGTAAATAATCACATGAACAGTTTGAATTGGTTTGATATACACAATCAAGATAAGACGCGCAACCATCAGTTTTAGGATATAGATTAGGAAAGCATAATTCTGCTTTAGAGTTAGGTGATGGTATACATCGAGTAAATAAACCGATGTATGTATAAGTAAAACCATAATTGAGATCAGCTGCAGTTTCATTTCTTGCTACCGCTTTTTTCCAATGTGGAAAACCCATCGCTGTTACATGAAAAATGAATGCAAATACAGCAAGAATAAAAACGCTAAAATAGAATATCTTCGCTTTTTCCACCATTCTAATATTTTGAATAATAGTAAATTAATGTAAAATCCTAAAACAAGAAATAAAATGATGACAAATACTTGCTTCCCAAATCAATTCTCAATATTAAATTTCTTTTGAAGAGAAAAGAAAATATTTGATTCTGCTTATAGCTCGATTTATTTGACACCTATGTCAATGAGAAAAAAACGAGTTCAGCCATAATCGAACGGGAGTTATGTATATATATGTATATTTTGTTTCATCCCCCCTATACATGAAATCCGTTTTCTCCCTCTCTCTCTCCCTGATGTTTTATTCTTGTCGAAAAAAACGACGCAAAAAATCAGATGCAATACAAGGACAAGTCTTATTCGTTCGTCTAGGCGGTGGATTATTTAGAATTGAATTTACAAGTTATGTAGAAGCAATCTTAGTGCAATGTATCAAAATGTGAGGGTTTTTTTTCTTTCGCTCGGTTTTTTTCTTTTTCAATGATCGTGCACTTTCTCTTATTCTTTTCTTTTTACCTACACTATTATCTCGCAGCTATACTAAATCCATTAAAGTTTCATTCACCATATAGGATGTAGGTATATAATTATATATAACAGTAAAGAGAAAAAAAACATAGATCCTCAATTTGAATATCGGTTCCATTTTAATCATTCATATGTTTTTTTGCTGATTGTATATAAACGTAATGATTCGTATATTCTCCATTTCGTAAATCATAGGCAGAAAAAAAAACGACAAAATTTTATTATACATATTTTGCATGTTGCTTAATGTGCTGTGGCAATTATGATGTATTTGTTTGAATATGTTGGTTTATGAATACATATAAATATGTATTTACTTAAAATAAGCATCAATTTTCTATTTGTAGTTATCAAATAAAAGAACGAATTTTTTGTTCTGACTAATATTTTATCAAGAAAAAAAGAAGGAATACTTGTCAAAATATTTTTTTTATGATGTTATAATCTGTAATCAATGTATTATTTATATAGTTATATTAATAATCTGATCTATTGTATGTAAATTAATATCATATAACATATATGAGCAAACATGTCACCTTAAGACAGAACAGTGGATTATGAGAATATAAAACTACTAGAAGAAAAAGTGCAATTGCATGTTACGGGAAATATACAAATGAAAAAATATTTTTAGTAATCTTTAAGCATGGAAGAATCTTGAAAAAATAATAATAATGATAATCTTTTATGATCATGTCAGACACCCTCAATATCTGTTTATGTTACTTCTATTCACGTTCATAACAAATAATAATATTTTATACAATAAACAAGAAGTAATTGAAAAATTTTGACAAATACTCAGACAAATGACTCGTCTTTATTTATAACAAATCGAAAAATCTCTTACACATTGATATATAATCTCTTATAACAACGCGAGTACATCGCTCTGGTTCTATTGTTAAGGTTAGTTCTTTTATTTTTAGTATCTTAAGAAATTAAATGATGATTTGATTGATAAAGATTATGTATTAATATGGAACCGTTTTAGGATTTATTATAGGTAAGAAAGAGAAATTCTTTTTTTCTGACAGAATTAACAACTTTTTGATTAATCCTTGTTTTATATTGCTACGCATAATATTTATTTAAAAATAGAGATTCAGATAAATAAATATATGTTATTGATAGTAATTACAAACATTGTTGTAGAAAAATAATGTATATAATTGAATAAATTATAGAAAATATAATTCTATATTGTTTTCTGTTTACACGAGTATTTATCAAAGATATTTGATACGAAATTCGTGCTTGAAAAATGTACGTGATGATACAATTTAAAAATACAAACACGTGATAAATATGATCAGCTTTTAATATCATTTATTATGACAATAATATATACTAAAGGAAAATGGAGAAATATAAAAAAAAGTAGAGAGAAAGCAATTTATACGCAATAAAAAAAGAACACATCTATCTCAAATGATAATCTCATAATTATTTTCTCATATGCTCCTCTTCTTTACTCTTATTACACTAGTTGTCGTCATTACTTGATCGTGTTTTCTTTTGTCTTTGGTCATTTGCATAAAAAAAAAGTAAGTAGAAATGAGAAAATTTATCTGCATCTATGCGTCTATACGAACGTTTTTTTCAAGGTTTGTTACACTAATGAGGCATGTATCTCGCTTGTTAGTTAGTGTTTATAATCTGTGAGAGATTCTTGTCGACGTTTACCAATAGTAGTAGTAGTAGTAGCTCTGGTTGAACATAGCATGCATAAAAAAACAACAAGAGGAACGACATTATAACAATCATACATGTCCGCTTTTAGTGTAAGTAAGGAAGAATGAGTTAGGATACTAATTGATATGATGAAAATGATAGCATCTTATTGTGCATTCAACCCTTAGAAGATCGTCATCAATGAACTGACGAATATGATTAACATCATCATGTTAATGGAATTTAAAAAAAAATTGTAATAAAAAACTATTTGTTTACACAATTCTTTTTCTCTTCCTTGTATTTCTTTTTTTTTTTTATAATGTTATGTTTAAGGATTCTTCAGATAAAAATATTATCATGAAAGAATAATAAATAATGATAACAACAGACTGAAATTCTATCATTAAAAAAGCAAAAGTGTCATCTGGTTTTTACTTTCTAGACGCAATATTGTCCTAACTAAACGAACTGTCATATTTCTAATTTAATAGCCTTTTCTTTTTGCTTTTAGATTTTTAGTATGATGAACTGGATCTAACAGTTTGTCATCACGTCTATATTTATGCTTCTAATCATAACGATTATTCTATATATATATATACATATACGAATGACGTATAACTAAGTAAAATTAGACGCAATGAGAAACAATATGCCAGGACTTATTTACCTCTTTTCAAAATATTTGATATTCAGTATGCATTCTGTCTACATGTAATATGAGTAAATATAAAACCTATGAACGTATACCAACAGCTTACATATTTATAAATAGCAGTCAAATATGTACTTGCAATTTTAGATATATATATATATATATATATAGGACAAATTTATCTACTGATGTAATTATTTATTGAACGATTGATTATAACTTGTATCATCATTGTTCATCTTGACAAAGAATTCTTCAGGATAATCTTCGCATTTATTTCTCTTTCTTCTCTTTTTTCCTTTTGTTTTTCTTTTCTCTCTCTTGTTTTCTTCTTCTTCTCCTCGTTTGTGTCTGTGTGTGTGTGCGTGCAAAATTTCCTTTTATCAATGCATTTCCATCATCATCGCCGTGAAAAAGAGTCTAACAACGATGGATCACAATCGTTAAAGCAAGATCGCGATGTTGGCCTTTCGTTTTTATATCATTCAACGAGTCAAGGTTCACGTTTAAGTGAAACAACATTTCCAACTTATTATTCATTAGCTTCTTTATCAATGCCATATCTACCGAAAAATAATTCACGTTCAGTTCATTCAAATATTCAAATTTTATTATATAATTTTCTTGAACGACCAGCTGGACTCAAATGTTTTCTATATCATTTTTTTGTGTATGTTAGAATGATAAGAATCCCAAAAAGATTTGATTAATCATTTTGAAAAATTTAGATTTTTGGTCGTGATTGTTTGTCTTGTTCTATCCGTATTATCAACAATTGATAAATTTCAAGCAAGGTTATCAGTACATGTTTATTGGATTGAAATATTTCTTGTTGTTTTTTTTGGTATTGAATATGTTCTAAGACTTTGGTCAGCTGGTTGTAGAAGTAAATATATGGGTGTATCTGGTCGTTTTCGTTTTGCACGGAAACCTATTGCTGTTGTTGGTAAGACTATTTTGTGTATAGTACAATAATGAATATATCAGATTATTTTTCTTTGTAAAGATTTAGTAGTAGTTATCGCATCAACATTAATGTTAACATTAGCAGCCGAACGACAAACATTTGCAGCATCAGCTATTCGTGGCGTTCGATTTCTTCAGATTTTACGTGTTTTACATGTCGATAGACATGGTGGAACATGGAGATTATTAGGAAGTGTTGTATATATTCATCGACAAGTAAAAAACAGTATAAAATGTTGTTGAATTTAATTTAAGAAGTTTTTATATTAAAGGAATTAATTACAACGTTATATATTGGATTTCTTGCCTTAATTTCTTGTAGTTATCTTGTTTATATTGCTGAAAAAGATGCACGATCTAGTCTTATACATGGTGCTAAAAGTGGTGATGATCATTTTCAATCATATGCCGATGCATTATGGTAAGTTGTTCAAAAAAAGATTTTCTTTTGGAAATAAACTCTATTCAGGTGGGGTGTTATTACAATTACAACTATTGGGTTAGTATTATGTATATTATTCTTTAATCATTTTTCTGGTTTTCTTTAATTTAGATATGGTGATGTTTATCCAATAACATGGTAAATACCGAAAAATTCATTGATGAAAATAACATGACATATCTTTTTTTTGTTCGTTTAAGGGTTGGGAAAATCATTGCTGCTTGTTTTGCAATTTTTGCAATATCATTTTTTGCTTTACCAGCTGTAATTATTTCGATTAAAATGGAAAACGATTCTCAATATATAATAAATAATATTTTAGGGTATACTTGGTTCTGGTTTTGCTCTTAAAGTCCAACAAAAACAACGACAAAAACATTTCTCTCGCCAGATTCCAGCAGCAGCAACATTAATACAAGCAGCATGGCGCGATTACGCCAGTGGACCTAATTCATCATGCGTTGCAACATGGAATATTTATTTATATGCTGCTGATCCAAATTTATCATCGCCACCTAATAAATCATTTTCAACAAATAATCAAACATTTAGTGGTATGATCAGAAAAGAAAAAGGAAATCTTTTAATATATATTTTATTGTAGAAAGAACAGCAGAAAAACTTCGATATTTACGTTTATCAACTTCAGTTAGAAAAAATCGATCAAAAAGAAATAGTCATGGAATACCACCACCATCAACACCGAATGTTTTACAATCACCAACTGCAAGTGAACCTCGAAATATATCTCAATCAGGGACGAATACAACAGGTAATAAGAAAATTAAAGTTAATTAGATTTTACTGAAAAAAAGAATGTTGTTTAGCTCAAGCATGTTATATAGTGACCGGTGATGATGAAGATTTTGAAGAAGAACCAATTAAACTTTGGTCGTAAGTATATATATATATACACTCATAATAGACAAGAATAAATGAAAAATTTATTTTATATATATATATATATATAGAGTAATATTATTGTTAGAGTTGTTTTTTTCAATAGGGATCATTTTATATTATTGAACATGATAAGATTGACAAATAGAAATTTAGAAAAAAGAGAGAAGAAAATGGTCTAATGGAGATAATACCATCCGTTATATACTTTGCAATGCAACAACATCAATATTATAGAAATGCCATCAGCTGGAGACTAAGAATTTCTTAAATGTCATGTCGGAGAAATATAAGAAATCATTTGTATAGTTAATTGTTTGATAAAAGGCACAATATTCATATGCACATCTACATATACTTCAATATTTATCCATAATAGTAATATAACTAGTAATGGTTGGTTTGAAATCTTGCTTGACATATATCTTCATACAAGTATCTTTTATTGAAACTAAAGATTATCTCTGCATCAAAACGATTCTATTAATTAAACATCTATTAATTGACATTTATCTTATCAAAAAAAAGAATTATTTAGTTTTTTAATATAACGAAAAACAGATTAATCATACTATTGAATATAGACCAAATATAGAATTTGTATTATTGACTAATAAATATCAAGAGTAAAAAAACAACTAGGACAGAAATAAAATCAAGTTCATTAATATGATTACTACAGTGACCTAAAAATAAATCTCAATGATCAAAGGAATTATTTTTGTAGTATATAATTAAGATAATAAAAACTACTTCATAATTATTCAAGATCTAAAGTTTATATTTTAGAATAGTATATTTATTTTTTCTACGAACTTAAAATACCATAATCAACATTCCTTCCTTTTAGTAACATCAAATTAGTAGTGCTTTTTAGCGAACATATCATTTATATGTCTATCATTAAGTAGCACTTATAAATATGAAGATACTTGAGAAAAGATATTCAGATATAAAATATTAACATTCTCATTTTGATGAATTTATTAGAAGTTATATTTGAATGACATGACGTACATATATTCTTATAATTAGAATATTAATTTTTTTTTCTTAATTAAAACAATTAATATGGCTCATAAACTAAATGAAGATATAAAATATTAATTTCACTAAATATAAATTTCTCTTTTTTTTAATTTTATCTATTAGTTTAACTGAAGATCATAAACGAATGATTCGTTGCATTCGTAAAATGCAATTAATCGTTGCTCGTAAACGTTTTCAAGTAAATACTTTCATTTCCTATTTTCTAGTTGATTTATTTTTTTTAATTCTTCTAGCAAGCTCGAAAACCTTACGATGTACGAGATGTACTTGAACAATATTCACATGGACACATTAATATGATGATGAGAATAAAAGAATTACAACGAAAGTAATAGAAAAAAAACGAAAAGAAAAGCAAAATAATACAAAAATATATTTGATTATTATTTTTGTTTATTAGACTTGAACATACCGTTGGTAAACAACCACCATTGAATAGTGAAGATCGTTCAAAATTAACTGTTCTTGCACGAATGCAACGTGTTGAAGATTCAATTAGTGATATGGGACAAACAATGGATAATATTTATACATTATTAAGAACTATGGATGATAAATTAGGTCGAGTATCGATTAATAATGAGAAAACTAATCAACGTGTATCAAGATCAATAATGTCTAATACAGGCGTTAAATTTTCTTCAGTCGAAGAAGAAATCTCATGAGATGTAAACATATTTTCTGTTTTTTCTTTGTTTTCCCAGTCGTATTTTTTTATCATTCAACGTCCATATAATAAAACAAGAAAAAAAAAAGAAAGAAAAGAAATGAAATTTTCAACACCCAGTGTGTTGATGTTTCTTTTTGTAATATAAAAAGAAAATGAGATAAGACAATAAGTAATGCCCTCTAGACAAATGATTCAATTTGACAGTTTCGTCAAGTAAACATTAATGAATTGCCTCTCATCATCATTAGGATACTTTACGGATCTGAAACAAGTAGATTGGCAATTCTCATTCGATCGGATTTATAGAGTTCATAAATCGTAGTTGGCTTTTTTCGAAATGATGTTTGGGAAGTCTGCTTTTGTGATTGTCGATGATTTACATCCGATGGTTGTCGTAAACTTCGACGTACTGGTAATGAAGCTGCAATTTGTAATGGACGTAAATTTCTATTTTGCGTTTGGATCATTAATTCTTCACATGAATGAGTACGTCGTTGTAATTTTGGTTTCCGTTGACGTTCATAATATTTTGATATTGATCGTGATAATGCATTAGCTAATTGAATATCATTTGGTTCAACAATAATTGTTGTTGATAGACATTCATCATTATGTGTTTCAGTTATTTGTGATGATAAACGTGGTGTTAATAGATAATTTGATGCTTGAGAACAGAGTTTATATGAACTACTTCGTTTTGCTTGTGGATGATGTCTACTTGAACGGATTGATGATGAACGAATTGATGTTCCACAATCGGAAAATGAACTTTTATGTCCAAGAATAATGTCACCATTATTATCTATAAGATCATCAGTATCATTAAAAATAAGTTTATTATTAAGACTATCATCGATTAAATTCGTTTGAGGATTATTTTGTTGAATAGGATAACGTTTAATAGAAAAAAAACTATAGAATAAATACGAAATAAGAAGAAAAAGAAGGAATAATAAAAATAATGCAATAAATAAACCAGTTTGATCAGGTGCTGATTGTACAGGTGAAAGAAGTATTCGTGGTGATTGATCATTTATTGTTGAATTTCGTTCAATCATTGTTATATATATTAAATACTTAAAAATATACAAAACAAAAAATATTCTTATCTCAATACTTTTATTTTCCAATAAAACTATACTATTCATAATGAGAATCTTAATGAATAGAAAAAGATGTACTCACATTTTATTTATTTCCTTCCGGTAAATATCGTTTATTTATTTAGAACTATTTTCAAAAAAGAAAAAAAAAAAAGAAGAAAAAGTCTAACAACAACACCGACTTTTTGTTTGTCATATAGATTCAAGGAAGACTTCTATTATAGAAGAAAGAAAAGCGACAAGATATATTATAGGTTTTAGTTAACTACATATATATCTAAAATATATTTCATTTCTCATTACATCTATGTGACATATGTCAGTCAGAAATTGACTTGTTAACTACGATTAGATTATGAAACTTCTTACATGAGAAGAAAATTTAGAAAATAATAATTTACCTATGAATAGTTTTAGTGTCCATATGATTGAAGATAATGTCGATAAGTTTATGCATGATTTTTTCTGTTTCTTTACTGACGAACTTTCAATCTTATTCACGCTTTTCTCGTTTTCTTCTTTTTTTTATATATTATAATGACAACTAAGACAAGCCCTTCGCCCTTCGTCGGTCTCTATTCTTTATCTAGATTCATCGCCAACGGGTGTTCGTGCTCCCTCTTCTTCTTTTCTCCTTTCCGGTCGGCCCATTTCATCACATCTGCCTTTCTCTCTCTTCATCATTCTCTATCCTAGTTTTATTCTCCATGAGTATATTTCTTCGTTGCTTCTTATTTCTCGACACTTAATGAATGTATTTGATTATTCCACGTTCAACATACAAACATATTCACTAGAGAACTTTTGCTTTTGGTTAATTGTATGACGACATCTTCTTTCAGTAAATCTTAATACATATATGAAAGAAAAAGAAATTGAGAATGCTAATAAAAATCCTAGTAATAAGTGAAAAAAAAGAAGATTGTTTTTAGATTCAAATATTCTCTCAACTAGTGATAATCATGTCTTATAATTTAATTTCATCTCAATTAGAAGTTTCTTTTACGAGACGAAGAAAAAAAAATCAGACAGCAACTTGTCATTAGAATATAATACATAAACTAATTATAAGAAAAACTCTTCAATTTGTCATTTTTCTATAGTTATTGACATGAAATTCAGAAGGCAAACGAGATTATTTGTTTGTTAAAATTCGATACACATAAATAATCAAAATAGCAATGTTTATATTTATGAATAAACCATTTAAATTGTTTATTAAGTTATTAAATGCACAATCATAATCGATGAATTATTCATTTATTGTAAGAATATACGCAATATTTTATTTATATTGTTTTTACTCCAATTCCTCATATAAAATCGAATTTATAAAGTAAACAATATCATAGTCTCCGTTTTTATCTAGGTAATTATTACAATATAGTTGCTCTTTCTCTTTCTTCTATTAATAAAACTTGTCTATGTCTATATGACATCGTTAGATTGCTTTATTATATTTGTTATTTCAACCTTGTAAATATAAAAGAAAATTTTTCTAATTAATGACAATAGACATGTGCTTTCTGTATTCTTTTTTTTTTAATACAAAAAATTCCAGACACTAACATCTCTATATATTAACCAAGGGAAAAAAAGACATTTGCAGATTTTTCTTTGACATGATGTTTTTTCTTTTACAGATATTCAAAACATTATAGTTTTATCTCACGAAGAATATATATATAATAATTTATTTGACTTGACATATACAATTGTATCTAGTTTTCTATGATATAAATTGAAATTCGTACGTGATCTTTTTCTTTGTAATGAATAGCTAATTATTATAGAGAACTAAAGATAAAATCATCTTTGATAATTAAAACTAGTGTGATTGTATTTTTTTTTAAATAAAAATTTTATATCTACTTAAAAAGAACAATGTAAAAGCTTCAAACGAATAAAAAAATGTTTATATTAACCATTTACAATAGAATATATCCATGAATAATAATATGAAACTCTAGTATAAAGAGTAGCTATGCCGCAACCTCTACCAGCACTAACAATACCAGCACATGTCCATAGATTATTATTACTAATCATGTATGGACTTCCACTATCTCCAAAACATGCGTCAGTACCATTATAACCAGCACAAAATCGAATATTATCATTTGACGATGATGCCTCACAATCTGAGGCGGCTAAAACTTCAATAACACCTTGCATTAAATTATCTGATACAGTTGTAGCGGTTAATGATGGTTCTCCCCATCCAGCAATAACACCATGCTGATTGAAAGATGGTAATGAAGTATCAGATGTTAAACAACATTGACCAACTGTTGTTGTTTGAGTAAAAGGTGATGCAAGTGTAAGTACAGCTAAATCATTTGTAAAGAGAGTAGATGAATAATCTGGATGAGTTGTAAATGTACTAACAGTACGAGATTGTCCACTACTTTTTGTTGAAAGTGTTTGTATACCAGCATAAGCGACAATTGAACCTTTTACACCAAGCACACAATGAGCTGCTGTCAGAACATGTTGATAATCGATAAGAAAACCACCACAAAATACAGTATTATCGTTTATGTAGAGTGCTACCATCCATGGCCAGGAATTAGCTACTGCAGTATAACCATTAATTATTTTTGCAGATAAAAATGATGGTTGCGTTGCAGAACATCCACATGTTGCTGAACCACCATAAGTACATGTTACTACGGGTGCCGATAGAATAGAAGTAGAACTACCACTACTACTACTGCTGCTAGATGAACTATCACTGTGATGTTTTAAACCTACACCAAGACCAACTCCAAGTGCAACACCTACGACAATGATACCTACGACTAGAATAGTAACGACAACAGCCACAATAATAATAATCTTCTTAGTGCTGGATGTTGCTGGTTGCACCATTACACCATATGGTGGTTGTGGATATTTCATTGCAGTATTATATTATTAACAATAATATTATAGGAAAACTGACAAGAACAACAATCGTCGTCTTGTACTTTTATATAATGTTGTTGCCGTTACGCCTCATAGCTTCTATCACGTTTGACATAAAAATCGATGACTAACTTCCTTTTTATATTACGTAGGGAGTTGTTTTTTTTTAAATTCAAAAAAAGATTAAGTATAGAACAAATAACTATACAGATTTATAGGCAAATATTTATTTTTTATTAATACGATTGTTCAAAAATGAATACGGAAAGATATGACGTAATAAAAAGAAATCCGTCGATATCGATTTTTTTTCTTTACGGACATCTATATAACGCACGTATACTCCTATGTTTTGGTTGACTTCACCTGCACCATACTACAAGCATACATGTGAGTCGTTCGAATACAAAAACATATTATAATTTCAATATATCTGTACATAAACTATGTGAATACAGTCGTAAATATTATACGTCAATCCTTTTGTTTATTGTTATTAAAAAATCATGCTTTTGTTTGTTTGATTAATCGTTGACATAAGATTTTCAGCTTGTCTAAACTGACGAATACAAATTTTTTTCTATCAATACGAAAATGGTTCGTGCTGTTTTAAAAGTAATGTTTTTGTCATCTGTATATTGAATAAACTTTAACCGATATAAGAGTATTAAAAAATGATTGTAAACTTATTTTTTTAAATGATTTATAATTATTGATATAAAATGCATAAAATTGTCATGAATGAAAATATTTCTATGATTATGAAAAAAATAACACGTTATCTATTTGCAATCTTCTTGTTTTTTTATTTTGTTCTGAGTGCGTAATACACATGACTAGAAAAGGAAAAGAAACTATTCATCTAATTAAAAACCTGTCAAACAAATTTTATTGAAAAATTAATCGAGAAAATACTGAGCAGAAGCCCATGACAACAAATATAATAATATATATTGATTATGCATAGTTGAGAAAAAAAAGTAGCATATAATTGCTTTTTCTTTATTAATTATAATTGATCGGTTTTCTTTTGTAATAATAATTTGTAAATTAGTAAATCTGACAATATTTTTTTTGAAATAATATAACAAATTTAAAGATGAACTTGACACCATGCTCGAAGAGCATTTGTACAAAGCCAAGCTGAATGCATCGATATTCGTATGTTATTATTAAGCCAATTGACAAAATTTTGATCATTTTTAATTAATAAATAAAAACCAAGTAATCGTCGTACTGTTGAAAATCCGCATTCATCTAATTGATGAGCATATTTTATTCCTATACCCGGTAAAATATTAGTTGCTTTCATAGCTATTGGTTCATTAATAAAGATCTGATGTTTAATACTAATCATTTCAGATTGAATAGATGATAATTGCTGGTTATTGGAAATTAATGAAGTATTTGATTTACTAGTTTCATGTGGTGTGGAAGTGAATTGAGAATTATTATGAAGTATAACAGACGATGAATTTATAGGTGTATTGGATTGATTATTATTATTCGTATCATAGATTAAAGACGATGGCTCGTCGGATTCTTCTGGAACAGTTTCATTCAGAAATGCTTGAAATTTATTATTTGCCTTTAAATAAATAACGAATTTTTAAATATTTGATTTTAATCTAAAGTGTTTTTTTTCGGATACGAGATGACACATTTAGAAAAAATAATTGTCCGAACTTGGTATAATAATAACGTCCCATAGGCTTATCGCCCTTAGGGGCCGGCCGCGGTTATTATTAGAGTTTTTCCACATGCAGCCGGGTTCTGTCGTCTTTTTCTTTTTACAGACGGCGGTATCTGCACCCTCTTCCGTCCAACATACTGACTAAGGATAACCAGTATGAATGACTCATGTGGAATGAGTCATTTTTAGACAACTTAGCCGTTAGTGACTTCCGAACTTGGTATAAATTATAATATTATGATCACACTTTCTCATATGAAAATTTATTCAAACATATAACAAAACCTCACACAGAGAATACTTCGTAGTTAGATTCACAGATTATAGAATGATTTAAGTTGTTAATTTAAATCTAACCTCTTGTTGTTCTTTAAGTATTTGTTCTCTTCCGAGTATATAAGCTTTTGTAAGTTCATTTAAATATTCCTGTTCATCTGTACTTAATTTACAATTTTGTTTTTCAAGAAATGAATTTAAAAAACATGTACAAATATCTTCAGATTTACGGAGTTTTGTATGTGAAGTTGTTAAACTTGGTGATTTGGTTTTAAATGATTCTGTTTGCTAAATAAAAATCGATATAATCAATAAAATTTTATTTTAATCAACAAACCATTAATTGTATTGATTTATTACTTTCAGAATGAATCGATAATGTATCATGAGTATGTTCATATGGTGGTAATGAATAATCTTTCTCATTATTTATTTGTTGATTTTCAAGTTCTTTATAAATATCAATAATTGTTTGTTCAGAATCATATTCTTTTATAGGATCTTTCTCATTAATTTCTATTGAAATAGTTTTTAAAGTTGTTTGCTCATTGAGATGAATTTCAACATCTTTAGCTAATGTTCGTAATTCTCCGCATAAATTTAATATTTTTTCTAAATGTAATAAAATTAATTCTGATTGATCGGATTTTTGTTTTGGTATTAATGGTTGAAATTCAGGTTTTTCTTCGAATATCAATGAATTTTTTCGTTCATTATCATATTTATTAATACTAATATGATCAGCTGTTTTCGGTAAAGATTGCTCCAATGGAGAAGCAATATATTTTTGTGATGTTTGATCGAATTGAATTTCTGAATAATTACATTCACGATCATCTTCAGAATATTTTCGTTTCTTATGAAAATTTCGTTGAAGTTTAAGTATATTTATTTGATCGAATGCATAGAAATGATTTTGACTATATGGTGGTTGAATACAATTTTGCATTGTCGATAAGAAATCATCACGATGAACACGTTTTTTATGTATCATCTATAATAAGAAAAATTGATTTACTTATCAAAATTAATCTTTACTAACAATAAATGGTTGCGAAACGGATTCTACTGGTGAATAAATATCATTGTTGATATTCGGAACAGCATTAGATGATAACGTTATTTGATTTGAAGGTCTATAATAAGATTTATTTGTTGACATATTTGAAGGATAAGTATGAAAACCAGGTAGTTCATGTTTAGATATTGAAGATTTAATAAGTATGGGTAATCTAAAACAGACACGTTAGTTATGCAAATTAATATATAGACTATGCTGTAGTCTGTGATGATAGTAAAATATAGACATTGACTATGTATATGATAGACTACATAACTATTGTGTTGTACATTCTATTAATTGTTAGGTTAGATTTACCGATTGAGAGAAGTATGATTTTTTGATAACCATGAATTACATTTTTTCGTTCGTCGACAAACTTTTTTCTTTTGTTGAATATGATTTAACGAAAGACGATATTCATCAAACGCATTTCCATTACTATTCTGTGTAAGATGATAAAACTTTTTATTAAAATTTATATGCTGTACAAGCATAGATGCTGCTTGTTCAACAATATTTTGTTTTAAAGTAGGTGAAAATAACGTAGCATGATCATTGGTGTTCTTTGAGGGGCTCACTTGATCATCTACAAACATTTAGTAATAATTAAATGAGATGTAGCATGAACGAAAAAAGAAAATAAAACGAATATGATTATATAATAACTCGAATTAAATATAAACAATATTGGTGCCAAATTTGAAGAATTTATTTATGTTACTAAAGACTTATTACAAACATATAAGAGAACAGATTAAAATTTCAATGAATTATTCAGCGAGAAACTTTGGTTTGAAGGATTTTAACCTATTCAGTTAGAATGTGAAATGATGAGACTATAACGTGGGTTTTTATTCATATTTTTTACCGTTATTATTGATTCTATTTTTTTTCTTCATAAAAAATACTCAAGTTTTTTATCCGGAAAAAATAAGACGTTAATTGTTTAATTGTATATACTTACTGTGTCATCATTTGAATATACATATACTAAATAGTCTTTTTTGACTATTATTGAGATCTAGAGAATTTTGTATTCAATAATCATCTATCATTCAGCACCATCTGTTGATACTCTTATATCTATTGATCGAAATTTCAATTGAGAAATAACCATTCCAATATGAAAAATGATAAATGAAATTAAACATGAAAATATTCTCAATAAAAAGAGATAAAACTAACGAAATTCTGAACATTGGTATTTGAAATATCGAATGAAATCTTTGCGACACAATCTATCGATAAATCTAGTTCTTGTGACGCTTATTCATGTCGTTTTTTTTCCTCAAAATTACAAAATAATATTGAGTCATTTTCGACAATCTCCGTGCAAACTAAGTACATTTCAAAATTCTTTGTCACACGTTCATCAAAATATTTTTGTCCCTTGCTCAAATAAACAAAAATTAATATTATTCATTTTTTTTTCTTTTTTCTTTTTAATCTCTGTTCGTGTGCATTTATATTTTAACATTTATTCTAATATTAATATTCCGGTGTTGATATAAATTCAATCATATGGCAGAAGCAACACAAGAATCATCAGACAAAAATGTCGAAATATGGAAAATTAAAAAATTAATCAAAAGTTTAGAAGCCGCTAGAGGGTATTTTCTAAATGATTTTTTCCTCAATAATATTTTTATTTAATTTCTTATGTTTCAAGGAATGGTACAAGTATGATTTCATTAATTATTCCACCTCGTGATCAGATACCACGTATAGCTAAAATGTTAGCTGATGAATATGGTACAGCATCGAATATAAAATCCCGTGTTAATCGATTATCTGTTCTTTCTGCAATTACTTCTGTACAAGCTCGACTAAAACTCTATAATAAAGGTAGAATTAAAATCATTTCGTTATTATTTATAAAGATTCTTTTTTTTCCTATTTTAAGTACCAAATAATGGACTTGTTATTTATTGTGGTACTATAGTAACTGATGATGGTAAAGAAAAAAAAGTTAACATCGATTTTGAACCTTTTAAACCAATCAATACTTCACTCTATCTTTGTGACAATAAATTTCATACTGAAGTATGTAAAAATAATTTCATAGAAACTATATGTGAGACATTGACAACTAAAGTAATAGTTGGAATAAAACATAAGTCCTTAACCATTTGAGATCAAGATTTAACCTATGGACGAAATCTCTTTAAAACTTGATGTTTTGTATAAGCATTGAGTATTATCGATACTTCCATTGATACTTTAAAAAAAATATTTCAGGTCATTTTCAACCTTTAGCCGTATCCTCCTACGGAAATTATGAGAAATATTTTAGCCACTTCCTTGGAGGTGTACGAACGGGAGCCTAAAAACTGACTCAGTAGGGTTTTTTATCTCGCACAAATATGTCTTAACTACGAACATTTGTTGAACATATTCTTTCTTGATCCTAAAAACCACGAATATATTTGAAATTTTTTGAAAACTAGAATTCTTCGCTAGGTGGGACATATATGTCCCAATGGGTCTCAAAGGGTTAATATGAACATTTGATTCGTATTCCAATTATTTTTTTGAGGGTAAAATCGATATTTTCAAAGTTTCTAAATAAACCAGGGTAATCTAAAGATTAATATTAGATTTCTTTTGCTATATAGAAAATTATGAATCTATATTTATTATAATTCTTTAAGCTTAGCCATACTTTATTCTATTAATAAATAAAAGATATTATTAACAATGAGGATATATATGCATGTTGTAATTTAAGATAGGAATGACGATATTCAGTATTTTAATATTTGTATCTGAAAATCATAGATTCATTAGAAATAGAAATGAATATCTTCAATCAAATACTAATAGCAGAGATTGTTTTGCATTACATGAGTATTAAAAATGTGCACTCTTTACGGTCAATAACTTAATAATAACGAGAATATAATTTCTCCAAAAAATTATCATAAAATAAGCGTTAAAATAATTTTTAAATCTATAGTTTAGCAGAGCTCGATGACTTCCATCGAACCACATAAAAATATCAAAGACATTAACTTAAGAACTTGATACTTTTCTAAAGTATTTAAATTAATGTATATAGATTTCATTTAGCCTGACTATGAATACATCATGTTTTAATCCTTTAAGTACCATAGCTCAGCCAATGGATGAAACTTTGTTAGGACTTTATTTCTAACATGTATATTGTATGTTGTGAATATTTTCATAGAAACTTTTAAAAAAACTTTCGAAGTCATTTTCGATCAATACCGGTACCTCCCTACGGCACGCTGGTACTTAAAGGATTATTAAAATGATAAATACGGCGCGAATACAAGCACCTACATGTCCTCTATGCCACAATGACAAGTGCACTTCGATATTGTTTCGTATTCGTAATTTATTCAGAATTTGTCAAATTCTAAAAGAGTGGGGCTTATAGGGCCCCGTTGGTACTTAAAAGGTTAAGTTCGTTAGTGAGATCTTTAATTTGACACAAACATGTCCTATTCTCTTGAGTTATAACACATCTCTATTGTAAGATTTAACTTATTGAAAGCTATTTGTAATTATAAATGAAATGACAAATGTTTTATTTCATAATCTTTTAGGCATTACAAGCATTACTTGCAGATGACTCTCGCTTTGGTTTTATTATTATGGATGGTAATGGTGCGTTATTTGGTACCTTACAAGGTAATTCTCGAGAAGTGATAACAAAATTCTCTGTTGATCTACCGAAAAAACATGGTCGTGGAGGTCAAAGTGCCCTTCGATTTGCTCGACTTCGTATGGAAAAACGTCATAATTATGTACGAAAAGTAGCTGAAACAGCTGTACAATGTTTTATAACAGATGATAAAGTAAATGTATCAGGATTAATTCTTGCTGGTTTAGCTGATTTTAAAACTGAACTTCATCAATCAGATATGTTTGATCAACGTCTACAAGTTAAAGTACTTAAACGAGTTGATATATCCTATGGTGGTGAAAATGGTTTTAATCAAGCTATTGAATTAGCTGCTGAAACATTGGGTGATGTGAAATTTATTCAAGAGAAAAAATTAATTTCACGATATTTTGACGAAGTATCAAAAGATTCTGGTCAATATTGTTTCGGTATTGATGAAACACTTAAAGCCCTTGAAATGGGTGCAGTTGAAACCTTAATTGTTTGGGAAAATTTCGATGTTATGCGTTATGTTTTACGTAATCCTCAAACACAAGAATCAAAGGTTTTATATTTACGCGCTGATCAAGAAAAAGAAAAATCACATTTTCAAGATAAAGAATCAGGAGTAGAATTAGAACATGTTGAAGAAATGCCTTTACTCGAATGGTATGCAAATAATTACAAAAACTTCGGTATGTTTCCTTTCTTTCTATTTTTGTAAACTAAAATTTTATTTTAGGTGCAACACTTGAAATTGTTACCGATAAAAGTCAAGAAGGTTCACAATTTGTTCGAGGATTCGGTGGTGTCGGTGGTATTCTTCGTTATAAAGTTGATCTACAAAATTTAAATGTTGACGAAGATGCTGAGGCAATTGATTACTGTAAGTATATAAATATATTATAAAACGAATAAAACAAAATATCTTTTTGCCTATTTTAGCTGATTATGATTGAACATTCTTTATTAAATAAATCGTCACTTTTTTTTTGTTCATGTCGTCTTCTTCTTTTTTTTTTCTACCATTATCATATACACATTTTATGATCTATATCGTTAACTGATCAGATGAAAAATGTGTTTGAACAGCATATACAAATGAAAAGTGGAGAGAGAGAAAAAAAATGTTATTATTTCAAATAAAAAGTAAAAAAATTAATTTGTATTGATTTCTAATGAAAGATAAATTATTATTATTAATAGAATAATTAAACTTTGTTAATAACAACAACAATAACAGAAAAAAAACAAGTATTTACTAAGAATTGCGAAATTTCGTTTGCCCTTTTTTTCCTATTACAGTTTCGTAAGAATAATAAATCAACATGCTAAGCAAACGAATCAAGGACAATTATGCAAGACTTAAATGATTCATTTTTTTTTTGAAAAAACGATTTATCTTAGTAATATTAATTATTATGTATATCTTTGAATTGCATAATTTCTTTTTTTATTTGATTCATGAAGACTAATATCTGATTAAATTTATATTGAACTAGTAGTAATGATTACAGTCATAACTTAATAGTTTTTATGATGTAAGATAGAAAATGAATAATTCTTCTTCGCACCATAAATTATAAAATATGAATGAATAATCAAAATTAATAATTTTTTACTTTTTTTTCTTCTCTTTCTCTTGTTAAGATTAAGCTTGTTGAATAACCTTCATAATGCATATATGTAAAATACATTTACTTCATCCTCGTAAGATTTCCTAATCATACTGGTGTTCAAGAACAAGTATTGTACTTCCGCTATTACCTAAAAGAACGAAAGAAATATCATCATGAATCGATGACCTTGTCCTTGATGACGACGTCGTCTTTCTTCTCTTCTATTTCTCTCCCTTTTACATAACCTTAGTCAGTTACGTAAACCACGTCGCCGCGTCCATTTAGCAGTGGCAAGTGCTTGCCTTGTGTGTATATTTGACTTTTTTTTACATTGATTCTATTTCGTAATATGATTATAGTTCCTCACTAATTACATAATCGATAACGATGGATCGCTCATTTAGTATACTTTCGAATCTGATGTCTATTGTAAAGAAGATACCAATACAAAGAAATGTTACATAAAATATGTTATGCCTTGATCAAGCTACCACTAGTCAAATACTAATAATCGTTCTACTAGTCACTAAACTATAAAGATGTATGTTGTTACAACATTTTCCTTCTGTTGATTATGTAAAAAAAAAAAAGAGAAAAAAAAGGAAGAGATGACGCATGAGAACAAGATGAATTTGTTTCTTTCAAATCCATTGAAAATGATCGAAGCGTGTGTATATATATGTCTCTATTATATCATCATACTCTGCCGAGTTACTCAACATATTCATGTATTAGTGTCGTCCTCTTCTTATTCTTCTGCGTTTTCTTTTTTTTTTTTCTAGAAGAAGAAGAAGTATAATCAGAATCAAGATGACATAATGTCATTTACCGATCTTACTAAGATCATTCATGACAAGATAGTCTATATATGAAATATTATACAAATGATTGTTGTATAAAAATATCTACGATATCTTTCTGGACAATGTCCGACATAATATCTTAACAAATGACGTCATGCGTCATATGACTCATATGATTCATGTTAATTTCGAAGGAGAAAAAAAAAGCAGGGTGATGAAATTTGTTTATGATTATAATCGTTCGATGAGAACGAGTCAATATGAAGGTGGAAAAAAACGCGATGTCATAAATTTATATAATGAATCATGTCTAGAATGGATAATTTTGCATCGTTCTCATTCTTAAGACAAAATTTATGAAATCTTGCACAATATTTATAGTATGTTTCGTCATTTAATTTTCTACACGTGATAATGTTTGCAATCTGCTGCTATGTTGTTGTTGTTGTTTATCATTTCGCAGTTAGTAGAGATGGGCAACATGATGATGACGATTCGTGTCGTCATTATTTGTTGCAATCTCTAAAAATTTGAGAGAAAAAAAAAGAGAAATAGGGGAAGTAGAAGAGGTGGAGAAGGGGTAAAAAGAGAAGAAGAAGAAAAAAAAACGCTCGATGTTGGTATTTCATGTCAATGTAGTGTTGATCGTAGTAGTTTCTTTTTTTCTTTCTTCGTCGAACGAACGTGAAAAAGAGAACGACGCCATAGTCTCTCTATATATAAATTCATTCTTTCTCTCTTTCTTGTCTTACACGCGCACATTACAAAAAAAAAGAGAAGACATTACATAGAAAAAACAATAATCGACAAAAAGAAGAAAAACCAGTTTCGCAAGAGTTTCTGACGTAAATACAAACAAATCAAATTTTTTATTTTTTAATATTTGGATTCATTCACGATGGTAACTAACATATCTAAACACTCAATCGGCTCTTTTAACAATTCTGGATGTTTGGCTAAATCGGTTTTCTCTTATGGTTTCTTGACAATTAGATATTCTGGCTCTGGTTTATTTGTAAATACATTCAATGATGGAAATGGGTAAGGTCACTTTGTTCTATTAGTTTACAATCTTATCATTTTACTAATATGAATGTGTCTATTCTTTATACTGTAATAATATACAAACTATCTAGGCAAGTGAGCTTTCCTCATTGAGTGCAAATGTTCTATGCCAAATAAACATTGCGAAAGAAGAAGAAGAAGAAAAAAGAAAAAGAGAAATGAACGAGACAGTGTCTTTGTCTCCTTGGTGTACGAACAGAAGGTCACGAGTATATAGGCAGAAACAGATGCGTGTCGACGGAAAACAACTAAGACAAACGCATTCAACTAAACTAATAGCTTTATTATATAGATAAAGAAGGTTGTCAAAATGTATATATCAATTTTCTTTCTTTAAATAAAAGATTACATCGATAGAGAAGAAATATTAGTAATTAACAGAATTATATCATATATAAATTCAAATAAAAAATCATATGCTGATGATGATGATTTTTAATGGCCTTGTAAACTCCGAATATCTGATTGATAATAAAAGAAGAAGGAAAAAAAATGTTTCTTTTCTCTTTCTCTATCAGTTGAAGAAGAGAAAAAAAATTGCGTAAGCCACCTTCTCTAACTCTAGCAAACGATTGAACAACCATGCGGCGAGCTTGGCGATGACTTGCGCAATGGTAGCTTGATTTCGCAACAGCACCTTCTTTTCTTTTCTCTCCTCGTCCTTTGCCTTTTCTTTTTTATGTATATAATATATGTTATGTCTATTTGTAAACTTAGTTAGTCAAACTAATTAGATTATTTCTTTGTTTTAGTTATGCTGCTACTGAATCGTCACCGATATATAAGTCAGATATTAGTGAACAATTCTAATCATTTATTTATTTTTTATTAATTCTCTTAATTTCGTCAATTCTTTTTTCTTAACTCTCTATTACAATATGTCTACTTTACCTTCTTCTTCGTCGTCTCAAACATCACATCATACATCATCTGCTAAGCACACTGATCTTCGTCTTTTAACACAAACATCCTCCTCGTCTTCTTCTTCTCCAAGAAATCCATCAACTTCAATTCCACAATCAACTGATCCATCAGGTCCACTTACACCAGATGCAACACATTTGGTTAATCCATTTGCTGCATTAGCTGCAGTAAATATTCCTTCATTGCCTTCTGTACGTATTATCGGTGAATACGAATTTAGTGAAACAAAATTCGATGATTTTAAATGTGCCCGCCATATTCCAACTGGTGAAGCATTATTATATAAAGAATTTTCACTTGAAATTGTTCGTCAACGTCTTGAACCTTATCAACGTCTTATAACAATTCTTCAATTATCAAATACAAATTCACAATTAACATTAGAGCAACTAGCACATAAATATCATATTCATTTTTTTCGTGATATTATATCACTTGATCGAACAGCTATTGTTTTATATCCAAATTATACAAATAATCTTCATCAATATATAACAGAAAAACATCGTTTAAATGAAAATGAATCCCGAAATTTATTTTCACAAATTGTACGTGCTGTACAAATATGTCATCGTGTTGGTTTAATTGTACGTGATTTAAAATTACGAAAAATTATATTTAATGATAATATACATACACATTTATTATTAACTGGAATTGATGAATCTATTATGTTATCAACTCCAACAACAACAGATGATCATGTATCTTCACGTTTTTCTTGTCCGGTTTATGCTTGTCCAGAAATTGTTCTTAATAGACAAATGTATTCAGGCAAAATGGCTGATTCATGGAGTTTAGGTACCCCCCTTTTAGTCATATAATACTGTGAAAGATTACATTCCCCTAATTTTTAGGAATTATTTTATATACAATGCTTTTTGGTCGATATCCATTTTGTGATCGAACTTTAGTTGGGTTGTTTATAAAAATCGGACGATGTCGTCCTGATATACCTCGAACAATATCATTAAAAGCACGTTCATTACTTCGATCCTTGATTCGTGTTAAACCAGATGAACGTCTTTTGACACAAGATATACTTGGACATGTCTGGTTTGGTGGTGATAGAAGTGCATCAACATTATCAATGAGTACATCAATAACAAATTCAATAATAAATGAAGATTTAGTTTTATCCAATAATACTAATTGTATAAATAATAATAATATTAATGATATGACTACTAAAGAAGATGCTGTTGTACCTAATTTTGAATGTGAATAGCAGAAGGAAATGTATACACCAATTCTTTTATTCTTTTTCTTCTTCTTAGTATCCTTCTGTATTTTCAACAAATTTCTTCTTTTCTCTTACAGTCTTATTCTTTTCTTTTTTCTTTTTCGTTTTGTTTATTTCATGATTTTTTCCTATACCCCCATTTGCTTGCGCTCTATTTTTTTTGCCAAAGAGAGAAAAAAAACAAATAATATTCATGGATTTTTTTTGTTCTATTTATTTTTCTTTCTAAAAGAGACGAATATGTGTGACGAGAAAATTATTTCAATAATCAAGAAAAATATTATTTATTAGTTAACAGATACATATGAACGTTGAACATGATAAGTATAATGAGTATATATCAACATTATAATAATAGTAAAAAACACAGTAATTGAAAAAAGAAGTATAGATGAAAGACGCCACTTTTTAACCGTTTTGATTTCTTTTTCGGAACATAATGGACATGATGGCTCAGATGAAGAAGGACTTGATGAAGAATTAAAACACTAAAATTAACAGTTAAAAGATAATGTAATGAAAAATATTCTTTACTTTATCTAATAATGATATTGCTATTAGTTTAATATCTTCTTTAGATAATTGTCTAACTCCGTCTTCATGTTCATATTCTTCAATTTGTTTTGTAAGTATATCCCGACTAATACCATACCAAGATTCCTTCATGTAAAATAATACACAAGTCAAGTTTATGTAAATAAATATATATCTAAATTTAACTTACTGTTTCATTGGTAAGAGAACGAACTTTCAATACTACTTGACAAAAATCAATCATAGCAGCTGATAAACCGGTAGCAAAACCATCTGTTGTTGTTTTCCAGCATTCAGTTGAACCTTTTTGAGTATTACAACTACGTCTAAGAATAAACCAAACAATAAAAACGAAATTCGTTGAAAGAATTTCTTACTTGCATTTTGTGTCAAATGATTCTCGATGTCCCGAGACAATTAAGAACATACAGATAAATATTGTATTACCATAGTTCATTTTAAATCTATAATATTCACAAAAATAACTAGTGACTAGTATGATAGTTATAGATAATGATGGAAGTATATCGATGAATACTTAGAATCAGTGGTTTATCCAGCGGGGGGGCACGGGGCTTTTTGCCCCCTCGGAGGGTGCTCCTGCCCCCCCGGAATTCAGAAAAATTACGCTTTTTGAGTCTGAAACTCTACGTTTGCCCCCTCAGAAGAGAGATTTTTGCCCCCCCGGCAATTAATTTCGCACCCTCGGACGAAAAAAGCTGGATAAAACACTGCTTAGAATAGTTTATAGTTATTTTCTTTTTAAAAAATCTATTAGAACATATTTTATTTCTTTGAATAAATTCGTTCGTACTTGGCTTACCATCGAGTGGTTTATTCGACAGATGATTTTTAAAGGCTTTATCAATAAATAATACATTTATGTTTACCTATGTGAATAATCGCATATGTTGATACCACTAAAAAGAAATCTTGATACAAACTTCACTAGGATGATATCATTGATAAATATTATGAATTATAAGTTGTTGCTTGATGTCAACATTCACTAATTACAGTGCAGTCTATTCTTAAATATATATATTTTGATTGTGAGAGAGGAGAACGACTAGCATAGATAGTAGAAATTTGCGTGACGGAATTTCAAACTGTTATTGTGGAGTATTGTATCATGTAAAAAGAAACGAGTATAAACCTTTTATAAAAACAAAAAATGTGAGTATATGTAACAAAAATGTCAAGGGAGATACAATATAAAGGTGAGTATATATTCATAATATATTTAAAAAAAAAGGTAAAATATGGAAGCGAATGAAAGATGCATATTTTACAATGTTGCCATGAAACCATACATTTTTAATGACTAATATCGACGTTTTTTTCTCTTTTTTTTTACATAAAACACAAGCATGTTTCTATGTTTACTGTTAATGACGATGAAGTATCTCTTTTACTTATATTATTGACGGAAACAAAAATGATCGAATGAGACTTTCTAAGAAACATGAGTTTATTCAAGCACTGTTTCTTCGTAATTGATAAATAAAAGCGAAGGATAATTTAAAATAGACGGTATTAAATACATAATTAATCAGAGTAAATTTGGTCGTTCATGGAATGTTTTTTACAAAAAACAACAGTAGCTATTACTACAAATTATTGCTGGAAGACAGAATGAGATTTTTATCATAGAGACAATGTCATCCGCTTTTATCCTGATAAGCAGAAGTTGTAATCAGTTTATCACCAGAAATGAATTATATTTCATTCAATCTATAACTTCAGCAAGACGCGACAAAAATGAAACATAATTTGAAGATGTCGAATGGTAGATCATAGTTAATATACTTATCATCAACAAAACTTGTTCGAATATAAATGCACGTGAATAAACTGCAAAAAGATATTTTTATCTATTTCTTCTCGTCTTTTTATATATACATTGAAACATTTTTTGTTATCGATCATTTACAACGCTTATTACAATAAATTCAATATATTTCTAGTAGAATTGTATTCATTTACAATAAAAAAATACCCCATCACCTTGTTTGTGTTAATTAAAGAAAGAAAAAACATAAAAAAATATACTAAATTGATACAATCATTATAGTTAGTCTCATAGTTATTGTGTTATAACACTGTTAATAAATTTATTATAATGACTAACTCGAGTATAAATTCCACGAAATTCACATCCTGAACGATCATCATTAACAATTCCAGAACATATCCATGCATTATTTTTCCTAGTCATAAGTGGACTTCCTTTATCACCAGGACACGAACCAGCAGACATATAACTACCACAAAATCGACTATTACTTAATTTTACTATACCACATGCTGATGGACTTTGTACTTCAACGTCGGCTGATTGAGATATATCTGGTAGTGAAGAAGTTGATGATACTTTATTCCAACCTACAACAACACTTTGTTGTTTGACATGCGGTATTGTGATATCATTTGCAATTGAACATACGTTTGTTGTTGAACTTAAAATGACGGTTTCATTGAGTGTAAGAATCGCTATGTCATCGATAGCATTATTTGTAGTATAAGTCAATGGATAGGTTATACGAGAAATCGAACGTATCTGAGCATTATTTTTTGTTGAAAGTGTGGTTATACCAGCATAAATAGTAATCTTATTTTTGTCTAGATTAGAAACACAGCTAGCAGTTGTTAGAACATGTTGTTTTGATAGAAGAAAACCAGTACAAATTCTAAAACTATCTGAATATAGAGCAACAATCCATGGCCAAGTATTTGATGTAGATGATGATAATAATGATGATGATGGTGATGATGAGGATAATGTTGATGTTGATGTGCTTTGAATAGGCATAGGTGCTGGATGATTTGGATGATTTGGATGATTTGTAGTATTTGAGCAATTACCTTGTCCTATTAATGAATTACATGATACTGTTGTTGTAACAAATTTTGGTGTAGAACTTCCGGATCGTCCTCCAAGACCGAAACCAAGTCCAAGACCAAGAGCGATTGCAAGTGTACCAAGAAATAAAAATGATCCAACAACAACCATAACAACAATTATTATCATCCTTGCTGAATTAGGTTCAGGCATTGGCTCGACAGGTACTGGTATATTTACCTGACGTATTTGGGGATATTTCATTCGTTGCCTCGCACTCCGATACATAGAGCAACAATTGAAGAAACTAACAAGAGTATATATTTGTACTATACTTTTTATAGGTCTCTTGTGCGAAAAATTTGTTCATTGTCAATGAATGATATCAATGACAATCTTGTCTACTGTATTTAAGATACTTTTTTTAATTTATTCTTGATTTTCATTGTCATCCTTCGACTTTTATTTTTCTCTGTTAGACATGACTTTGAAAATTAATTACAACACTCACAAATATAATCAATCATTTTGTCTACATCTTACTAAAGTAATCATTTATCAAACAAATATGTCTACATCAGATAGATATACATGGTCATTATTGAACTGAAGTTAGAATAGACGATATGGTAATAAAATAGAACATGAAACAATAATATTTTTTCACAAAAAGAATAATATAGTAGTATCCTTCACTGTATGTAGAGGAGTGACTCTATTGTTTACTAATTACTTGTACAAAAAATAAAAGAATGTTAGTCATATGTAGATCATAATGAGTGAATTGTTGTTATTCAGTAAACATAGAATAGTGATTAACAATGGGAAAAAAAAGAAAGCTAACCATTTTTGAATAAAATCATACTTATTGAATAGATAAGCGAAATATAATGATAATTGAGCTGTTTTCTAACTAATAAACAAAACAACAAAGAGAATGAATTATTTTCTTTGTAGTAATAATTAGTATTCACAAAGATAGAATGACTAATGTAGTGATTCTATTCGTTGTATGTATATGATATGTGATACATATGAATATGGATATTGTCTATCTTATTATTTCAACAATTGATAATGTTCTTTTTCTGAGTATGTAAAAAGTTTTAACTATAGGAAATAATTATTTTATTAATAAAGTTATTTTTTATTTCATTAATAATCTAGGATTTAGAATTTTTCTTTGTGTAAAAAGAGACGAAGTAGCTAGAGTACTCTATTGTATCTAGTCGAAAGAAAAGAAATCTCTTGAGTAATACAATATCATTTAAAATCTATACAACACAAACTGTGAATAGCATTATTAACGGATATTATATAATGAAGAAAGTTGAATAAAATAATCATAGTATCGTATGTAAATTGAAATGATGATTGCAGTCATTTATGATAACAATTCAAGAACGGAAAGAGTAGCAGTTTTCACCTTAGAATATAGTGAACCATCTTTTTCTCTAATATTATAAAGGATGGAGTTATTTTAAAAACAATCTTCGTTTCTCTATAGGTGAAATTGTGATGGTAGATCGTTTTGATATATCTCTTATAGTACTTTGTAGCAGTAGTTAATAATTCTATAGTCTAGAATATTATTGCTCCAGTGTCTCATCTTTCGGATGGTGAAAGCTTCGGTTTTGTAGTTGTTTCTGAATTCGACTCATCACTGACAATTACCTGTCAGATGTACTTGAATGATCATTCTCTCTCATATATATTCATTCAAGTATGAGAGCAAACTCATTATGAATATGTAACGACATACTACCAGATAGTAAACAGCATAGACCAGCATTAACTATTTACATCAATGTGTTTCGCTTGTTTTATTACATCTATAACTATTCAAAATATTCATTGATCAATTATTATAACAAGAATGAATTTGTCAATGATAAATATTTCGAACTAATGCATTTTGTAATAAATGAGAATATGTGTAAATTCGTACAGACTTTTCCCCTTTTTACGACAACATTATAATACTCCTGCTAAAAAGAAATAACAAAAAATCATGATAGAATAGACCAAACACTCAGAGTCGTGCATGTACTATTATAATATTAATTATTCATAATAATAAAAGCGTTAGTTTGTTTGTTGTGTATCTACAGACTACATCTGTCTATTGACAGTAATAAAGCTGAAAAACTATTGTTACGATTAACTTGTTTAAGAAAATTTTCAAGATCAACATCGAACTGTACTGTAGCATTGGTGATTAACAAACAAATTGTCATGCAAATATTATCATTAACAGTAATCTTAATACCATTGAATTTAAATAGCATAGTTAAATATAATTCATGGAATGATCGATTATTAATCTACAGATCTAACTTATATTTTCATTTTTAGAACGAAAATATAAAAAAACTCAATAATGTCTATATTTTCTAATTAAAAACAAAATAAGGACGAAATATATAGTTTGTTATGTAACTATTATATTCTAAATGACTATTTTCACTGACATTGTTATCGATTGAATATTTTATTGAAAAAAATAATTATATTGTTGTTTTCCTAATTAATTTGTAGGACAAAAACGTTTAAGTACATTTTCTCTTAGTATGTGTTACAAAAAAGAAATAGTTAGATTAGGATATGAATGATGATAAAGATGGCGGTTAGTGTGAATAACAACACTCATACTTCTCACACCTTCATGGCCATTACTCACTCTTGATAAAACTAATAACTTTATGTTAACTTTTAATCAACTTCTTTTTTTTTCCTGATCTACTAGTGTTGATTAATCGCTATGTTAACATAAGTTTTTCAATCAATCACACAGTTGTGTCATAACAAGTAAATTTTTTTCGAAAACTCAAGTATATATATTGAACACAAAACATTATCGTTGAGAGTTAATATTGACCGTAATTACTTTAATGCATGTCTTCGTATTTTGTATATAATTATAGTATATCTTTAGTCTATAACGATTTATTATCTGTATAGTTTCATTTAATACTTAAATCTATCTTTAATCCTATTTTACTAGAATATAAAACACAATCAAATAGTTTTTTTGTTCCGCAATGTATGTTGATATGATTAGAAGTGGAATTTTGAGTGTTATTTATAAAATAGATTTCCTCAAGTTTTACTTTAAAAAATAAACATTTTTTTTATATAAATGAATTTGTTTCTTTATCGTTTTTTTTTAAATATAATTCAAATTGAAGATTACTCTTAACATTTAAACTAATCTCTCAATCGAAAGATTAATGTTACGTTACAACCTATTCGACTTCATATGAATTCTTAAGAAAATTTCAATATCAAAAATAATCTGGATAATACATTTTCTTTTTCAATTCAATACAAAAAAAAAGGCAAAAAGGAAATTTTTTCTATATCTAATAAATTTCCTTTCACTAATTCATTAATGCTTTTTTTTGTTATATACAAAATCTATAACTGAACTACGTAAATAAAGTAAAATATATAGCCTCAAGCAAAACTTCCTCAATTAATAGGTAAAAACACATATATATGTATATATGACCTATAGATATATAGTCCAACTTCATTGCTTTTCATCTATCATTAGACACAAATATTATGACTGTCTAAACAATAATAATAATAGGAGAAAGGTACGACAGACAGATTGTGATTGAGCCCTATTTAATTGTCATCTCCTATGCATACAATAGTGTGAACGAACATCATCTTTTTCGTGTGTCGACCATGATTTGTGTCATTTTATGTCGCGTTCAAGCTTTACTTTTACGAACGAACAAGAGACAGAAGAGAAGAGAAAAGAAAAGACACCGAGCTCAAACTTTGATCCGTTTCTTTCATTATAAAGAACACCCGAGACACTCGAGCAGTTGAAACGAAGGAAAGAATGAATAAATAGATGAAAATGCCAAAAAACAGAACATAAAGGAAAGGGAGGAACGACAAAGAGTGTGAGGAAAGAAAAAGAAGAAGAGAGGGGAAAGAGAGAGAGAGAGAGGGAGAAGAAAAGTTTTCAGTCGATCTAAAGCGCGTTTGACGGCAGCAACAGCAGCATTATTTTCTCATTCCATATTTTTTTCTTGTCTTTCTCCGGGAGAAAAAAGAGAGTGTGCAAATACACGTGTTTGCCTAGCAGAATAACTTAAAAAAGAGGGAGCTCCGGTCATTGTTTGCATTCATCATCCAGACGTATATACATTTGAATAGGTAAGCCGAAAATTTATTATTATTATTTTGTTATTCTTCATCGATATAAATCAACGATTACTTTATACATGTATATACTGAATAGATGAAACATTTAGTAACATAAAAAAAAACCACAACGAATAACAGAGAAGAAAAAGGCAGCAGGTGTCGATAATAAATATCTTTTTTTTATATCGATTGTGATTATTTTACTACATGTATTCGACTGTCTTTATTTTCAAGGTAAATCAATAATATCTCATCATCTATTCGAAAACTTATGTGTAAATAACCTTTTATTTTTATTTTAATGATAATGACATGTACTTCATCAATTTTCAAGGAGACTCATTTGCTTTTCTCCACATTCCTATTTAATAGTTTATCAATTTTGATTTTCTATTATTTCCTGTGTGTTCTTTATTTTTTATTTTTTTTGATTTTAATTATAACGAATGGTGACTGAGTGCTTTTTACTTATTTCGTTTTTTTAAAAGATCATATTTCATTATATATGCAGTTCCACCCAACTTCACGTCCTCTCACATTACACTCATGTAACATTGACATGTATAAGATATTTCGTTTTTTTTCTTTTTCTTCACTTAAAATATTCTTAGTTCTGCTTCTATTAGCACTATCTTGTTCGATGACCTCTTGAATAACATATAAGACAACGCCTGCATCATTTACGTATTGCCTATAGGTAGTAAATGAAAATATTGAAAAAAAACTCACACATACGAGCGGACGTGCGTACATTCAACCCTACAGAGAGTTTACGATAGTGCTATTCATACTTGTATATATATATATATTCTTGCGTCATCTTACAAACTTCAATCTTCTTCGTTTTTTTTCTTTTTAACCATTTATTGTCGGCGACTTCGCTTATGTTGTTATTCGCATTTCAAGAACTTCGATGTATAATTTCGGATCGACGATTGGATGATTACGCAAATATATATATATATATATATATATACGAGAATATTAAATATAAACGCGCGCCGCGCGTGTTTAAAAAAAAGAAAAGCTTAACGCATGATCGCAAATATCAATTGTATGTGTATTTGGTGACAACGATTGATTGTGCATGCGAAACATGAACAGCATAAAGAGAAAGCAAACGAGAACCTTGACACATAAATATTAATAATAACTGTTGTATAGCAATTGTAACGTTCAATTAATGAAACTGTTGTAAACATGTGAAATTAACACATTGTTACGTTTCGATATTAACAAAAACGAGAATTTCTTTCCTTTCTTTTTTTTCATCATCAAATTGCATTTATAAAGAATGATGTTAGATATATATAAATTTAATAAAAAAAGAAAAGGTTCTGCACTATAATGTTTATATTTGAGTAGTTCAACTTGAATATCTTGTCATATTTTCTTAACGATATATTAATCAATACTGAGTATTTGTTTATTTATATAAGTCAATATATAAAATTCTACCTTTATTTTGATAAACATTGTAATTGATACATCTATATATGTTTTCTTTTTCTTTTTTGAATATTTTTCTTACTAAACTAAAAGATATATGAATTCTAGTCAAACCTATCGATGAAAAAAGGTCAAAATTTAAGTTTCTTCTTTTTTTTGTTTCAACTTAAATAAAACATTTTCTTCTATCGTCTTTCTTTTCAAATTTCTATAAGATCAAACATCTTTCATCCACCTCCTTAAAACCATGAATAATATTTTTATGATTACTCTTTTCTTTTTTTCTTGCAGGTGTAAAAAATAAAACAGAACAAAACAAACATTTTTACATATATATGATGACGATGACTCATACGAAATAACTCTCTATATATAATCAAACACTCTATCGTATAACCACAAAAATACTTTATTTTTTATTTCGTAACAATGTCGGCTAGTCCTACGGAACGATCTAGCTCACCGGAATTAGCGTCAACAATGGTGGGAGATAAAAATGAAGATGATATACAACAATTTCAACAGATTATTCGTGATAGACGATGTAAGTTATTTCATTGTCGTTTTTTCTTTTTTAAATATGTCTCAATTAATAGAGTAATTTCTTATTTTTTTTCGCCTACTGGTGTCATTTACAGTTAGACATTATTTGATGATTGACGTAATAATTATTACCCCAAAAAAAAAGTAAAACCTTGAGTTGAAGAAGGACAGTTCTTTTGTCATGCTATCATCATGTTCATCGCTTTCTCCTCTCTCTCTCTATTTTTCTTTCTTATCAATTGCCTTTTTCTTTGTAGTAGTCGTTTATATGAAATCGTGTTTGTACTAGTACCATCTTGTTGATAACAAGAGAATAGAAGTTGTTCTCTTTCAACATGCATAAACAGTTCAGACGAGCGTAAAAGAGAGAATAGAGCGATGATATTATAGAGATAAATGTTGTTGGAATGGACGGCGAGACATTAGGAAGCAGAAATTTCGCATTGAAGCGAGTAGGATCCTCTACAGTGTCGCTTGTGCAGAATTATAAAGAAAGAAAGAAAACAGAAGAAGAAAGAAAGAAAGAAAAAAGCAAAAGAAAAAAGAAAAGAAAGCAGCGCTTTGGTAGGGGTATTACAGATAAGTAACAGTCAACCAGAGAGTTATACCACCATCCGATCTTCGTCATTTCTGTTAGTATTATTATTATTATCGTCGTCATCAACTCGTCGTCGTCGTCGTAGTCGCCGTTGTCGTCGACCTCTTTCTCTATGTTTGACAACGAAGAAGAGTAGGCGGACAGTCAACATCCCATTGATTAAAACTCACTGATTAGTTGACCTTCGCACTAATCCTTCTTATCAGACACAAAAAAACGTACATTCATTCATATACATATATATATAATCAACTATGTCATCGCCAAACGTGGATGAATCAATAGATTCTCTTGATGAGGATTTTCTATGTAAGTTCATCTGCATATGTTTGATAATCAAATATCATCTGGAATAACACGATGATAAGAAAACAAAATAAGCATTTTATTGTATATAAAACTAGAGAAAATACTAAAAGCATAGTGGTTAAGACATTCCTTTTATCTTTATTGACCAATGAATCTGTCTCATCATCATACAACTACTCAAGTAGTAGTTCAATAGACTCCCATTGTTAAGTTGAAAAAAACATATGTGTATGTTTATATATGACTTGGCCTATGGGCAGAGTTAATAATTATATAGCAGTCTACTTGAGAGAAGTATATTTGATAAAAACGAACAAACATATGATTGTAGAAAAGGAAACATTTTTACATATATTGATGGGTTTATTTAAATGAAAAATGAAAGTTGTCTTCTTCTATTCCATAATATTATAAAAAAATTGTCAATATTGGCATATAGGATATCTATATAAGTTACTCATATTATTCCTGCTGTTATCGTTATTGCAATACATAAACCAATAGACATAGAAGCATACATCTTATCAATTAGCTGTCTTTTTTTATAGTATAGTTGATTCTTAAAATAAATTAACATCCCACATACTTATGTATGCCGATAACTATACGATTGATCGATTTGCATATATTCATTAACGTTATATATATTAGTTAAGACAGAATGTAAAAAATGATACTTTTTTTTGGACTTTGATCGAATTGTATACTAAAGATGAAAGATAATATAATTTTTTTTTAAATATATATATTTCCTGAGAAGTGATAGATGTATTGCACATCGTTTTTTGTCATAACCATTGATCGATCAGTTGGTATATATATATATAAACAATCTTGATATGTTATCGAATGATGTGCTCAGTCATTCATATATTTCTATGTTAGACTATCTTTACGTAAGAAACAAAAATTTTCGTTCACTCATTCGAGTCGTGAGATATGCGTACACATTAAATCATGGTCGTATCTTTTTTCTCCATATGTGAATAAAACAGGTGTTGAACTGTGTCAAATTAAATTCGACTATACGTTGTCTACGAACGTCATATATTTGAATTGTTTTTTTTCATTATAATAAAATTAGAATCTAATTTTTTGTTTGTGTGTGTATAAATTCTTTATTTATTATTATGATTGATTATTATTCGTCCTTCTCGTTTCTAGACGAACGCGAAGATATTCAGAAGAAGGCATTCACTAAATGGATTAACAATCAACTAGCAGATGTAACCTAATTATTTATGATTATATAATATATATATTTTCGTATATTTTTTAAAGATAAATTCAACATCACCTGTTACTGATTTATTTCAAGATTTACGTGATGGTGTTATTTTACTTCAATTATTGGAAGTACTCACTGGGAATGAATGTGTATGAAATAAAGAATAAAACGAAAATATTTTTAATCTTTTCTTTCTTTCTTCTAGAAAAAAGAAAATGGTAAAATGCGTGTACATCATATCGGAAATGTTAATAAAGTGATTGCTGTACTTGCTGAACATGGAGTAAGAGAGAAATCAAATTATCATTCATCCATTGATTTTCTTTTCTTAATAGATTAAACTTCTTAGTATATCATCAAATGATATTGTTGATGGTAATCCAAAATTAACTCTTGCATTAATATGGTCAATAATTCAATATTGGCAAGGAAAAGATGTTATTAAATCCGTTGAAAATAATGTTGAACAGAATAATATTGAAAAATTTCTTCTTTCATGGTGTCAAGAACAAACGAAAGGGTTTGAATAAAAAATGCTAATATTTATTTCTTTTAAATTGAATTCTATTATTTAGATACAAAGGTGTTGAAATCAATGATTTTACACGTAGTTGGCAAGATGGCCTTGCTTTTAATGCATTAATTCATAAATTTCGTCCAGATTTATTTGATTATGAAGAAATTTTACAAAATGCATCAGCGAGAAATCTTGAACATGCATTTAGTGTTGCCAAAAATGTCTTCAAAATTGATCGATATCTCGATGTTGAAGGTTTACTAGAAAAAAAACTAAATCCAATAATTCTTTTCAACTAAAATTTATATTTTAGATCTTACTTCTGATTTTCCGGATAAGAAATCTATTTTAATGTATGTTATGTGTCTTTTTCAACAATTACCAGCAAGTAATATGATTATCGAAGATAAAGAGAAAAATGAAATATCGACGACGACGATTGTAACTGATGATAATAGTACAGCAACAACAGAGATAAAGGTCTAAATTTTTTCGGGAACATCAGATGTATTTTATCATAATTTTTGAATAGCCTTCTCCAACAGAAAATGAAACAAGTAAAGAAAGATCCGAAGAAGATTCAATTCGATTAAAAACATATCAAACAAGTATGGAAAGAATACTTCAATGGGTTCTTAAACTTGAAGATGATCTTGATAAACAAGATACAACTATATCAAATGATTTAAAAACAATAAAAGATCAATTTCAAAATCATGAAGTAAAAAATTAATTTGATAAATTTTTTAATATTGATTTATATTTATTAAAGGAATTTATGATTAGTTTAACACAAGATCAAAATCAAATTGGTGAAATACTTTTAGAAGGAAATCAATTATTAACAACACCAACATTTCATTTACAAACTGACGAAGACAATGATATTAAAGAACAAATGAAAATTCTTAATGATCATTGGGAATTATTACGTTCAAAATCACTTGATAGACAAACTATGTAAGATATTCAAACATTTCTTCGTCTAACATAGTTTAAATAGGATATTATAGAAAAATAACTAGTCAAATGAATTGATTTAAATATTTAGAATAAACTTTTTCTTATTAAAATTTAACTTAATATAAGAAACATTAAAAGTGGCATTTGTATAGTTTTTCATCATGTAATCTGTATTCAAATGTCGAATGAAATTACTTTCGTTTAAAGTATAAATACATCTTTTTTACACTAATTTTGAAAGCTATATATAGCTTTACGTGTTAACTTTATTATAATTCATAATTTTGTATTGATTTGTATTTTCTACAAGAAAACAAATTGCAAAAATATTCCTTAGAGAAATTATGAATGAGAGAAAAACAGTTTATTTTCACATAATACAAATGAGTTTTTCTTTTTACTTTATTCCGATATTTTCTCACAGGTAACTAGTAGTAAGTCTGAGATAAATTCTAAATATTTCTCGATATATTGTCTACAACTATGTATAAGAACAGATAATACTTGAATATAAATATTCATTAAGGATTTTTTTCTCACGCCGATTAGCCTTCATTATACTTGAAAATCATTAAATTCATTTATATTCATAAAGGAAAAATTTAAATAATGATTTCAACCAATAGTATATTAGTCTGGAGTAGGATTATTTCTATTCATTTTATATCTTATTCAATCAATTTTGCATTAACTTACAATTTCTCTGTTAATTTTTAGTCTACACAAAGCTCTAATGAAACTTCAAGTCGATCAAATTGAATCATTTGATTCATGGCTATCACAAACTGAACAACGTATAACAGTAGATTTAAGTTTACTTGAACAAAATCTATCGGGTATTAATCGTCAATATGAGCAATTAGCTCAATTACAAGACGAACTTGTTTCACAACAACAAATAACGGAATCATTACAAAATATGATTATTGTTATTGATGATTCACCATCAGAAAATTCTGATTCAACGTCAACATATAATTCAACAGAAATTGAAACTAAACTAGCAAATTTAAGTGAACGTTGGGCACAGATATGTAACTTTGTACAAAATCGTTGGATATTATTACAAGAACTTAAAGTTGAATTTGAACAAATTGATTCACATCTAGAAAAAGTTAATAAATGGTTAATATCAAAAGAAAATGAAATTGATCAGATGAAATCACAACCAAATATTAATAATAGTGATATACTAATGCAACAAGTTCATTCTATTCAGGTAATGATTTATTCATTTTTTTAAGAAAATCATATTTTGCTCTTTAATATATAATTTTCAATAAGATAATATTATGCTTTATGACCTTTGAGAGTTTATACAAACGATAAACACATTGTATAAGCTAAGAGGAATGCGTCTGAGTTGTTGTTATTTGATTCTATCTATTCATTATTTTTTATGATTAACATAACCTTTCCTATGTGAATAAGAAGCAAAAAAATAGTATTCCAAAGATTTATTGATTAATGAGATATTTTAGTAAATACCATTCTTAAACATACATAATATTTTCGTTAATGAATATTTTCTATATTAGATACAATTCTGTTCCTAACATCATATAGAATGGGTTAAAACTAACGAGATAAAGAAAGCTTGTAAAAAATAAAATTAGATTGATTTATATTGAACAAATTTTTATGATGAAAAACAGATGATAAACTCTTTATCATGTAGTACACCAGATATGCAATCAATTTATAGATTTCTAAAGGCAGCAATCTTGAAAATATGTCCTTGTCTGGTTACTTTTGCATTATTCTATACTTGTTTTCATATAATATAAACTTAATATACATAAAATACTATTAAAAGAATATTTTTTGACAATAATTTTCTACTAATTGAAAATTTATTTGTAAATTTAGAAAACTGAATCTGAAATGACTGATATACGTCAATCAATAATCGTATTAGATAATAGTATAAAACTTCTTAGTCAACATTATGATAGTACAACATCGAATGAATTTAAAATTTTAAGTGAACAAATTAATAATTTTGAAAAACGTTGGACACAACTTATTGATGATCTTGAACAATATTCAGCACGAGTAAAACTTGAAAAAAAAATTTCTTATCCTATAGGATTTTTTATTTTTAGTTAAAAACAATTGATTTAACTACAGAAACACATACTAAATCTGATAATGATCTTATACAAAAAACAATCACAACAACAATTGAAGAAACAACAACTACAACATATGAAGAATCCGATGATTCAATAAAGAAATCTAAAGATAATGAAAATGAAAATATTGCTAAATTAGATTTCGATGTTTCAGCTCGAAAATATATTGATTGGATTGATAGTATTGAAAGAATATTAGATGAAAAGCCTTTAAATCAAGTACAAATTGATGAAAGACAAAATATTATTCAAGTAAATTGATTTTTTTTTCGAATTTTTTTCTTATTTAACTTTATTTGTTTTTGAAGGAAGTTAAAACGAAATATTTATCATATGATGATCAATTTAAAACTCTTATTCAAACAGGAAATGTAATAACAAAAGAATTAAAAGATGGTAAATATTATTTTTTTTTTCGATAAAATGTATCTATTTGATTTTTAGCAAATGAAGATTCTAATGAACATGAAACATCATTAAAAACATTAGAAAGCCGTTGGCAAGAATTATATAAACAAATTCTTAATTGTGAAAAAGATCTTGAACAATCGAAATTTAATGAAGAATTTCAAGCATTAAATAGAGCACGTAGTCAATATCAAACATGGATTGATTCAACATCATCTAATGATGAACTTCAGGTATAATTAACTAGAAAAGAACATAATTAGGTAGAGTATACTTGATATTATATAATATAGATAAATCAAGTATGTATAAACAGATAAGATACTAATAAATTATTCAATAATTGGCAGGTGTTGCCCTTTTTTCCCTCGTTCCCTATAGGTATATGTTTATTAGTGTGAGGATATTTTCTCTAATGACTTTTTTTTAGACGACAAATAATATAATATATATATATCAATCATAATATATATACAGAATGGTTGAGCGACAACACGAATGTGTTGTTATCGAATAAATTCAAAGCAAATAAATAGATAAGAAAGAGAAAAAAAGAAAAGCATAAAATATAAACTAATCTAGCAAATCGAACCAAGAAAAAGGAAGAGAATGACTAATTTCATCTCATTTTTTTCTCTTTTATTCATCCATTTGTTCAATCATTGTTATTATTCTTGATTACAAAAAAATGACCGAAAAAAGGCATCAGCTGAAAAAGACTTAAGTAACGACATTGTAGATTTTTTTTTCTTGTCCGGTGTGTATTTTCATATTCTCTTCTTTTCTCTTTCCTGTCATTTACTTTTTCTTTTCATTCAGTCAGTCAGCCAGGCTACTACCACAAAACGTTTTTTTTTCTACTCATCGCTCTAATCGTACATTTTTCTTCGCTTTTTTCATGGGACATGCACATGCGCACAAGCATTGATTATTACTAGCTATTTGCATTTCTATTCACTTCGACTTATTCATATGCATATACCTGATTAATATAGCCTGTAAGAAACCTTGATTATATCCATCTCAAGTTCATTCACTTTTTTTTCAATCTTGTTTTTGTATTTGATTCGTAAAAAGGAAAAAAAACTGAAAGCTGTCATTTTTCTGTTATTTACGATAAAAAACGTAATTATTTATTTGTTGTTTTTATTTGAAATAGGTCCAATTAAATAGTTTTCAAGCATATAACGAACGTTTAGCTAATTTACGGCGTATGGCTGACCGTTTTGATGGAAATAATATTCAACGTACCGATGATTTATTACGTTCATGGGATGAGACACATTCACGACTACGTAAGTAACAATATGATTGCATTACGTTTTTGTTCCATTTTTTTTTCGAGTGTGCAGAGAGTATGATTTCATCACTACTCTCACTATCGAACTCTTCGTCACCACACTTTTATTTTGTTTTACTTTGATCAAAAATCTGCCGTTGATTAAAAGGACGGCATTACAAGTGTATATATATGTGAGCGCATGTATGCGGGTCACCATTATTAATGCAGCTGACCGAAACAAAGAAAGGAAAAGAGGCGATGAGGTTATCTTTAGTGACCAGTACTCTACTGTTCACAAATTACTGCATAGTCTTCTTACTTTTTCTCTGTTCTCTTTCTTCTCCTGCCGCTATTGGATAAAATCGCTGATATTCATGATTTAGTTCGAGATTGAACGTATGAGACTGATCAAACTATATGAGTAGTATACATTCATACATGTATATATATATATATATATACGTATATCGTCAATGTCATGGTCGGAATTATCGCCGTTGTACATAATTGTGAAGTGTAGAGCACAACGACGATATAGAAAAAAAAGAGAACAAGTACAATAAGACGAACGAACAGGCGAGTGGGATTGTCGTTAGTAAATTTAGGTTTGTTCTCGCACTGTCTATATATAAATGTGTATGTCTTTGTGTGCGAACGATGCTACTCGAATTTTATCCTGTCCTAGCCAGCGAACGAGTAAAAGAAAGAGAAGAAAAAAAACGAGGGGAGAGAATGGGCTTTCTTTCGCTCGATCTCCATCTCATCTGTTGCATGATGTGTCACTCTTCAATACGAATATACATCCTTACTCTTCTGTATGTCGTCTAGTTGACGACGCCGTGCAGCTGCGTCACTATGTTGACTAGTAAAAAAGAAATCGAAGACAGAGTAGGAGGTACAAAGAACGAGCAAGTCTCTCTGTTATATTTATTAAGTAACTATCGATAATCATTGATGGCAGTTTTAGATGGAATTGTGGGGCTTTTACTGTCTCGCTGTTTTTCTGGCAAACACTAAATATTTTTCCATATGTCTAACTGCACACACACACACACGACTATATCATATACTTTCTTTAGCTAATTATTCAAGCGCGTGCTTTAGGAGTCTTCTGCCTATCAGACATTATCTTTTTCCTTGACTTATTTTTTGTTATCTTTTATTGATCTATTTTTATCTGATTAGGTGAGCGAATTATCCCTGTTGAACATATGCAACAACAATCATCTGGAATAGCTAGTTCTAGTTCAACATCATTTCGTCAAACGGGTGTATCATCAGTTCCAGCAAGTCCGAATCGAATAGCATCATTATATGAACAATCTTCATCTTCAGCATCAGCAGGAGGAGGAGGAGGAGGATGCGGAGGAGCAGGAGGAGCAGGAGCAGCAACAACAAATTTAGGACAATCAATAGGCGAAAATGGAAGTGTTTTTACTTTAACAAATATTTATACATTTGGTGGTCAAGATGGAAATTCGAATAATGGTTTATCAAATGATAAATCCGATAAATATCGTATAAATTCATTTGTTGAAGTATTTAATCAACCATCATCACAACAGGATACTGAATATGAACGACATTATCGTGAAACACATTCATCATCATCTATAACACGAAAAATACGTACAAGTGCAACAGATTCATATGATTACGAACCAAATGGTAACTATGATTCATCACATTATCAACATCAGTACGAAACAGGAGGTCCATCATCAACCAAATATATACATGGTATGTCATCATTCATCAATGTTTTTTTTTTTTGATATATAAAAATACATTCTTTCCAACTTGTATTATGTTTTTCGAGTTGATGATTTATTTATATGACATTCATCTATTTCTCTAAGGGAACTTCTTTTCCATATTATTGTTGTTATTCTCCTTATCTAAATAAGATTATATAGAACAATTAGTTCGAGAAACAATGAGAAAATTTGACATCTTTCTCTTTTTCTTTTTCTTTATATAGAACAAAAGTCATCAGGTACTGGTAATTTATCATTATTACCTTCGACCTTTGTTGATACACAAAATAAATTACGTTTGTGGCTTGAACATGTTGAACAATCATTATTAAGTGATAAAGTTCGAATTATTGATATTCATGCAATAAATGCTAAGAAGAAAATTTATAAGGATTTACTTGATCAAACATTTGAACAAGAACATAATTTAGAAATATTAAATGATATAGCACGAGAATATTATTGCAAATTAACTATTGATGTTACACGACGTTTACAAGGAGAATTAACTAATTATCATGAACGTTTATCTGATATAAAAATGTTTTTAAGTGAACGTTTAGCAAAATATAATAGACTTGATAAAACATTAAGTGATTTTGAAGTAAGATAAAAAAAAATTTTTTTTAGAAGAAAATTAATTAAAATATTTTTAGAGTGGAATAGAGGAAGTCAAACTTTGGATACGTAATGCTCAACCACGTGTAGCAACAAGTGATACAAGTTCACGTGGGTTAGAAAATCAATTAGGAAGACATCAAGTAATGAAAAAAAATTTTTTTTTGTCTAATTAAAAATATTATTTAGGTTCTTCAACATGAAATACGTGAAACACAAACAATTGTTAATCGTTTAAATAAAGATGTTATTGATTTAACTCAAGATGCTGATGAAAATTTAGCACGACGTTTACGAGATGAAATGAATCATTTAAATGAAAGTTGGAGTCATATTGTTAGTTCAACGAAAGTCTATTCACAAAATATTCAAGTTAGTTATTATAACTCTCGAGAGGAAAATGAAATCATTTCTAATCATTTAGGATACTTTAAAACGTAATAAAATCTTACAAGAAGAAATACGTGATTTACAAGAATGGATTATAGATCGAGATCGTAGTACATTCTTTGATGATGGATCAATATGTCATCAAGATCAAATTCGTGAAAGACTTGAACAGTATCAAGTAAAATTCATCTTTCTTTCTTTTTGAAAAAAAAATATAATTTATTCATTTTCATAGAGACTTCAAACGGAACTTAATCTTAAAGAATATACTGTAAGAACATTAGTTGAACAAGCTCGTCATGATATAAGTCAAAACTCAGCGCCTGAATTAGCACAAAGTCTTGAAACACTTATTTCAAATTGGTCGAGTTTACAAAAGAAAGTTGATACGAAAGTTATATTCTATTCCGATATTTATAAATTACATGAAGAATTAAAAGGTAGATTTTATTTCGATATTTCTCTTAAAACAAATTCTTAAATGTATTTATTAGATTTACTTTATCGGGAAAATATCTGGCTAGATACATTACAAAATCGAATCTATGCACAATCACATGCTGGTGTTGATGCTGAAGAAACAGCTGAAGAACTTGAAGTAAAATTAAAAAACATTTTTAATTCAAATAAACAGAAAAATTCGTTTTTAGACTCTTGAACGTTTTATTAAATCTCATTCGAGAATTAATTATGAAAAAATTATTGAAATATCTGATCGTCTTCAAGCAACAAAAGTTTCATTACCATCAATAAATAGTCAAATCAATCAATTTCATATTCGTTGGGAACAATTACATGATGATGTAAAACTGAATTTTAATAGAATAAATTTATTTTAAATTTTTCATTAGGCTATCAAACGAATTCATGTATTAAATTCACATGTATCTGATCATCAACAATTAAATCAACAAATAGCAGCTATGTTTGAATGGATAAGACTTACTGATAATACACTTAATTCACGATTAAAAGATGATGTTTATGCTGATGATGTACCTGGTGAAGCGGAGGTAAGATTAAAATAAAAACAATAATAATAAATAAAATTTTTGTTATGTTGTTTGTTAGAAATTAATTCTTGAATTCAATCAATATGAAGCATTTTTATATAGTATTGAAGATAAAATTCATGCATTACGTAGTACAGGAAAAAGTGAAGCTGCAAGAAGACTTGAACAACAATTTCTTCCATTAAAAGTAAATATTGAAATTTTTATAGATTCCTTTTTTCAAATTCACTTCTAATGTTTCTTTACTTTCTCTTCATATATAAATATATATATATATATAATAAGATGTTGAAGTAAACTTGTATGATTTATTGTTTACCTATTGATTAAAACGTCTATTGAGTTGAGAAAAAAAAAACTTTCGAACAATTTATATGTTAATGATTAGTATTATAAAAATATATATTAGATTTTGTTTATACAGACATGAAAAACAAGTAAAACTAACGAGACAAGGACATGTTTTCTTTAGAAATCTATAATATGATCTTAGATTTCCTATAAAATATATATACTACGTGACAAGGAGTCTATCTTCAGTCTTTGATTACAAAAAAATCGTTCAAATATAAGATCAAACGATATATATCGATCCTTGTCTTGTAATTTTTGGTTATACTAAAGATTAATCGGTGTTTTGATATAAATAACAAGCTATTTGTTGTTTTTCCGAAGAGTTATTTTGTTTTAATACAATTACATAAGGCGGTTTATAAAAAAAAAGTGAAAAGTAGTATTATTTTCCAGAAGAGAAACCTATAGTATTCTACCTGATTTCCTTATTTATCGAAGTATCTATTTTCAACGGGGTAACGATCGCCTAATAGCTAGATCCACCACTGCCATAGTTCATTGAGATATAGAGAGTTCTTTGAAATTATTGTGAGTAATGTTCGTGTACGATGTATTAATTCTCTTCTTTTATTATTTTAAGAATCAATTTACTCATCTACAAGGTAAATTTCGACAATTTCAAAAACCATCAGATTTTGAACCAAAATATGCTCGAATGCGTCAAATTTTACATGATGTTGAACAAAATTTATATACACTTGAAATACGTTCTGATGATCCTGATGTTGTTCATAATCAATTAGAACATTGTATAGTATGTTAATCACTTATTTTTAATATGAATAATATTTTAATCGTTTTGTTTTTGTTTTTATAGAAAGTCTATAAAACATTATCGGATATTAAATCGGAAGTTGAATATGTTATACGTATTGGACGTGGTGTTGTTGAAAAAGGTCAAACAGAAGAAGCAAATGATTTAACTAGACAAATTGATCAATTGAAAGCAACTTATAATAATCTTGGAGCAAAAGTAAGATATAAAAAGATTTTTATATTAATATCAAAATTTTTTCGTTCAGGTATCAACTTCGAAAACTCAATTAGATAGTGTTGAACGTCATTTACGTAAATTTCGTAAAGAATATTCTCATATTCATGAATGGTATGTCAAAGCTGATCATGAAATACGTAAAATTGAAAATAAACAAGTATCAAAAAACACTAAAGAAGAAGTTGATTGGATACGAGTATGTTTTTTTGTATTATTTTTCGAACAGATTTTACTTTTTTATCTTTTTTAGACAACAAGAAATGATATTAAAAAACTTGAAGCAAATTTTGAAAGTTTAAGAACATTAGAACGTACCATACAAAAAGATGCTGAAAGACATTTACCTAATCTTCAAGAAAAAATTCACGAATTAAAACGACAAATAGATCATTTAGATCAACGACTTCGAGATCGATCCGGAATTGTTGAGGTAAATAAAACAAAACTGAACATAACACACTTTAGTTGATATCGGATATTTTAATACTTAACCTTCCGTGGAATAATTGCATCTCAATGATGTAACCTACCATTTGTCATCAATTTAGATAGCGCATATTGATGTAATATGAACAAGTGCTATCCATGTGTTTTCTATGTAAATAGAATTTACTTTTTTCGATGACATCGTAATTATTCATTTGATCGAATCTTGAAGTGTATAAATCTGTTATTAGATTAAATGATGTGAATGGACAAAAGACAAAAAGAACGTTGAGTTATTTCCTTCTAACTAATTGATATTTATGATCAAGAACATTTTTTTTATAGTATTAGAAAATAAGGTATCTGATTGATAGTATATAGGATAATTTGTTTGTGAGAATAAGCAGCGATTGTGATGCTCTAACATTGGTTTATGTGTATCGATAAAGATGCACTTTTTGATATAATCAAACGTGGCGTGATGTACAGAGAAACTGTGTTTGCATTTATGCGTATGTATGTCACTCAGTGACGGACGACGAAGAGCATAACTAGAGCAAGCAAAGTAGTTGTGTTATCTGTAAGGAATCATTACATTTTCTTTGTACCCATTTCTGTGCCGTTGTTTCATCGTTCTTCTTATTCTTTTCCCTATTTACTGTACAACTCATTTGCTTACTCCTTTTTTTCTTCCTTCTCCCCTATTGCACATTTTTTTTCTCCACGATTCATATCCATTAATGCCAACATAGACAACAAAAAAACCTACCATCTACTCTCATTCTTGCTTCTCCAAAAATATTACTGTCCTGTTTCGTGACTGGCATCGTTATATCCATCTACTTCTTCTTATATATCCATCTATACATTCTATAATATATTATCATAAAAAAAGATAGATATGCGCATTTTTCTGCTAGTACAACTGGCAGTAGTAGTGTGATTCAACCTTGGATCCTCTCCGCTAATTACATCTGATATTTCCTAAACTCCTATTTTCCTGCTGTGCTTGTCAACAAACTAGAATCTATTCATTAACAAGACTGATTGGATAGAAAGCAACTAATACTAGTAACAACACCGTCATTCCTTTTTTTTCATGTTTATACAGCACGATCAAACTTGTTTGCCTCATCATCATCATCAATCACCCCCTGTCTATCTTGCCTATATGTGTGAACTAGTAGTGTTGATATCTTTTCTCCTTGTGATCTATTGGTAAATCTTTTCTGTTCGTTAGCTATCACCACCTATCGATGATATAGCAAAGAAAGATGAGGACAATTGATAAATAGGTGTTACTAAACCACCAAATCATCTATTATTATACTGTTTTCTCTCTACTATCAACAGAATATTTTCTCACTTGTTTCCCTTTTCTTTTCTCCTCTATTTATAATTGATACTGGTGGTATATCTATTATCATCTTCAGAATAACTAAACGACGAAGATAGAATGAGGATTGACGTCAAACGTCCGGCGTCATCACATTCTGAACGATCACGTCGTTATCATAATTTAATTTATATTCCATTTGAATCAGGATATGATTCATCATCAGGTATATCACCATCATCATCAACAACTCTTTCTCCTGTTGAATATATTATATATCCTATTGGTTTACGTAAGGTATTATATTATTGAAATATATCTAATATTTCTTTTTTTTGCAAATTTTAAAAATAAATTTATTTCGTTTAATAAAATAAAACATATTTTTTATTTTAAATAGGATCAAGTACGAAGATTAGAAGATGATTATCAAAGATTTGTTCATATCTATCAAGGAATAATAATACGTTTGGATAAATTAGAATCCTTATTATTAGATGCTGAACGTGTGACTGATTTAACAAGAATATCAGTAAGTATTGAAAATTAAATTAATATATGTATATGATTATATATTTAGCAAGTACAAGAAGAATTACGTAGTGTAAGAACTCAACTTGATGAAATACTTAATCTTGGCCAAGAACTTGTATCGAAGAGTGAAAAATATAGCAAACTTGTTGGTCCTGATATTGAAACTATCACAAGAAAATTTGAAGAATTACAACATCGTATACATATCATACAGGTTGGTTTTTGTTTAGTAGATATTAGATGTTTCTTAATGCTTGTTAGTTATATACGGTTGTTGATATAGTAAATAATCGTAGTCTAGTAGAATAGTAAAAACTTAGATATTTTCGCATATTCCCCCGTATCCACCACGCAACATAATTCTTGCAGGAAACACAGGAAAAACGTACACATCAACAACAACAAACATCAACAACATCTAATGCTACTACTACTGCTACAACAACAGCAGCAGCAGCAACAAATAATATTCCAAATGATCAAGCTGATAATACTCGTCGTGAATATTATTCGGAAAAACGATACAATCGTACAGAACGTCAAACACATCATCGATCACCATCCGAATCATCCGATGTAAGCACAGCACATGGTGTTATTGATGAAGAATTTAAGAAAAAATATTTACGTTGTTTGGCTTATATGAAATTAATTGAACGTTTATATGACAATCAGCCAGAAAGTGATGAAGATTCTGATATGAAACATCAGAGATTATCCAGACGAGTATGACTACTTATTTTATTCTTACTCATCATATCTATTCTTGCTTCGTTGCATGTGGAATTGTTCTATGCACGAATTATTTGCTTTTATAAAAAAAAAAAGAATCAATTAAACAGTAGCAAGTATTTTCAATAGTTTGATTTTATTAATTTTATTTAGGAACGAACGATTCGTGATCGACCTGAATATGAAGAAATTGAAAGAATTATACGAGAAACAGAAGAACGAGCTTATATTATTGAAAAAACTGATGTTGAACAAGCACGTCGTATAAGAGAAAAAATTCTACGACTTAGAGTAAAAAAATTGAAAGAATTTGTTTTCCTCTATTTCTTCTTCTTCTTCTTCTACTAGGATTGTTTGGAAAGTCTAAAAACTCGTTCTGAACAATATCAAAATAATGATGAAATAATTCGATTTAATGAACGTTATGAAGAACATATTCGTACAGCCGATAGAACAGTAGCAAAAGAACGGGTATGAAATCTAAAATAAGAATTTTTATTGCATTTCTCTAAAAAATTTTGAGAAAAAAAAATGGCAATCAGTTAAATATCGATAGGTCAATGATGAATAAAATTTAATTATTTATTATTTTATTTGGTTATACATTAAATTTGTAATGATTAATATGTTTTTATTAAATTTGGAAAATTCATTTTTACATTAGTATATATATATATATTGGGTATTTCATTAAAATTAATCGTTCTTTGTGAGCGATTGAGTCCGATGTACGATAACATTGTTTTTTTGTTATTGTTGTCTAATCATATCCTGGAATTCGTTTTCGGGTATATGAGTATGGAGACATTTTTTTTCGTATATAGCGTTTTGTACGCTAGTTATTGGACATTCTCATTTGTGATGGTATTGTGTATTAATATGTTTTTATAATGAATGCATTACCTGAGACCATCGATTCATATAACAGAAATGATTGCCATTTTGAAAAAAGAGACTCAATAAGTTTAGTATAGACTAAACTGTTTTCGTTTTTTTGATGTTTTGAAACTGAAACCTTCGTTTCGCTTTATATTCTAGGACTTCGATTCTGATTTTATTTTTGATATGGATGATACGCGTTCAGTGATAAGTGAACCAGCACCACATCTCAATACAAAATATCGTAAAACCGTACATTCACTTGAACGTTATAGAAATGAAGATCAAAGTCGTTATATTCCAACACATGAAGAATATCAATTACAACCATTATTACGTGTACGTAGTTTAAAAGCTATTGATCACCGTACATTAAGTGCACCATCATCGCCAATATTACAACCACGTTATCGTTCATATGAACGTTCAAATGTTCAATATACAAAACAATCTGCAAATCAACAAGGCCATCAAGATAATTATCAAAGTTCAATATCAAAATCAGCTAGTATGCCAAATGGCGGTTTTCCACTACAACAAAATTTCTTGCCTCCACCACCACCACCTAATTTTTATCATCATCAACCTATTACATATCGTGAACGTATTATTGATAAACATGTTGCTGAAAAAAGTACATCACGTGGTGAATCTCATCGACAACAACATCAAGAATCAGGTGGTCATGTTCAACAACAACAACAACAAACACGTTCAGCTAGTGCTAATGCAAATGCAAGTTCAAGTGGACAAACTCAAACATTGAATCGATCGATACCTGTTCGTTATGAAACATCTAATGGAAATACAACTCTTGCTTCAACGGGCAGTTTTAGACAAACGAATGGTCATACACAAGAAGAATATCCATCTTATTTTCATAGTGAACAACATGCAGGAGGAGGAGGAGGAGGAGGAAGTAGTGGTGGCGGTGGTTCACATCGTCAACAATTCTATGAACAACAACAAACATATTCACCACAAAATGTTGGTCGACATCCAACACGTATTGCCAATTAAGAGTAAACAAAACTCCCATGTTGATATATAGAGAGTTATTCCTACCTATATTCTACTAGTAGAAAAAAACAAAATATTGTTTGCTGTGTGTATACGTGCGCTTTTCTATTGTCTCTTCTTCTTTTTTTTCTTCTTCTGACTTATTTCTTTTAAAGGTTGGTGCCAGTGCGCAGTGTTATAACGAAAGAAATATATTCTCTATTGGCATCTGTCTTTATATACTTTTTTTTTTCTAAAATGTCTATCGTTCGAAATTTTTACTAGTACAATTTGTGTCTCTCTATTTCTTCTCACTTTTTTTTTCTTTAATAAATATATAAGTATTTGCTATAAAACAAAAAAAAATATATAGTTCTATTCAAAAATCGAGGTTATCAATATGGATCTTATTATAATATAAATTAGCATTTCATAGTTATAAGATATACAAAACAACAAACAACAACAACAACACCTACTATAGCGCAATGTCGACTGTGGTGCATATACAGTTCTGTTTACTATATATGTAAAAATAGTCATTTCTTTCTGTCATAGATGGCAATGAGAATACCAACAGATCGATTGTATACGGTTTTGGTCTTTTGTGTGTATCTGTATAGAAGAAGAAAGATAAAAAACGGAAGGGGAGAGAAAAAGAAGGAATAACAAGGAGCACCAAAGATATGTAATGATGTCCTTGCTTTTTTTCCCTTCTCTACCATCATTACCTCCGACCGACGAAAGAAGATAGATAGAGAAAGAGAAAGAGTAAAGGGAGAGATTGATCAAACCGACATATATCAAGCAATTGCTATTACCACCAAAACAATTAACCATTTCTTTACACGTTCTCATACACACATGCGATCGACGACCCTGATGATTTCGATCGAGTAACTGATTTGGCTCGTCTGTTTATTTCGCAGTCATCCTTCATACACTATTGACATAGGCGACAATTAGACGTTAGTAGATTTGCCTTTCCTTTCTCTCTCTGTCTCTATCTCATATCTTTTTCTTGTTATCGTTGTCCTGTATTGTTCTCATCAAGCACAACACGCAAATTCATCATCGCATTGTCTATCTGAAGACTTTTCCTATATACTAAATTCCTCCTCAATGTCATTGTCGACAGAGAAAGACGAAAAAATACCTCCTGATTTCATTCATTGTGTACAAAAACTATTATCATCAATCTCAACTTTAAACAAACATTTATCTGTTTTAACTATACAAAAAGAAACTACTATTACAGATCAAAACGATGAATTAACAAATAAACTTCAAGTAAGAATAAAAAGAACACATTTATCAATCGGAATGAATCGAAATGACTGTTGACTTTAATAATATTTTTAATCAATCTAAGTCCTTGACAAGAAGAAAAAAAATCGTATAAAGCTCAGATTACAATCTACTTTAATAGACTATATCTCATATATTACATAAGTACATGACTAATTGAATCTTTGTATAGAAAATGTTTTCATGTAACTATTTCTTTTCTTTCACAAAGAAAGAAATGCCATGTTTTTATTCGAATGAGATATATTATCATTATCATTCAATCTTAAAACTTACACTTATAAAAAAAAGCTCTAGATTGGAATTAAATATAGCATTATTTTTATACAACATTTCAATTCCCAATAGTAAAATGAAAAGAAAAGAATATAATCATCAAGAAAGTTACTGAAACAGAAAAAAGTCATCATTAGTCACTTGACATAAAATATTTATATGTCTAATTATACTAGAATAGAAAATGTCTTTCATTCTTTATATCCACCTCTAATGACTTTAACATGCACAGATTCTTGCATCTTAGCTATTAGTATTATTTAGTCATCAATGTATGTTCCGTGATAGCTCGTAACTTTCTCTTTTTCCCTACACTTGATTACTCACCAAACATACACATTTAGACATATATATATATATATATACTAAAAACAGTAGCTATTGTGTGCTCGATTCATAGAAAAAAGAAGAAGAAGAGCTTCTCACAATCCATTCTCGTTTTTTTTCCCTTCTTGTCAATCCTTAGGGTAAGACAGAAAGAAAAGAAAAGAAACATAGTTAGAACAAGAAAAATCGTTCATATAGTCGAGTGACTATAGAATAAAGTATCAGAAAACCTTCGACACTATTATAATTGTCATAGAACAACAAGCTTGTCAATTAAGTTATATTAATATGTATTCAATAAATGTATATATTCTAGGCTATAAAAGACGCCATTAATAGTCTTGCACCAGCCGTTCATACAGCAAAACAAGTTTCACCAACATCATCACTTGTCGAACGTCTATCAAATGAATATTTACGTTTATGTGATGATTATAAAAAACATTATAGTCTTACAATGACGGATACACGTCCATTTGTTGAATACAAACAACATATTGAACGTTTATCTTCATGGTTATCAACGACAAATGCTAACATTCATGAAGTCTTACAATCGGTTAATAAACAACGAGCATTACTTATTATCAAAGTATGTTGATACGAAAAAACAAAGGAGAAAGAAGAATTTTAATTTGTTGTATTTAGAATCTTGATGAATTAAGTAAATATAAATCATTATTAGAACGTGCTACAGTTTTAAATACAACAATGGTTGCTGATCTACCTGATGAACAAGCAACAAAAATGACAAACGAAATAACTGATGTGAAACAACAATGGTCTATTCTTATTGAAGGATTAAATACACTTAAAGAAAGGTGATTTTATCTTTTTTATATCGTTTGTATTCATCGTTTAATAAACGATAAATTCTAATCTGAATATGATCACTCATTAACTTTATATTTGTTTTATTATACTAAATAGTTTATTTATGTTTGTAGACATTCATCACGTTATGCATCACCTGAACGCAGTAGAAATGAAGAACGTTTAACAAAACAAAATGAGAATTTAGTACATTATATTGAAAGTTGGCTTACATTAGCGAAAGAATTGATTCATCAACAGGAACACTTGATGATAAACAATCATAATATGATTGATGATGAAAAAATTTTACACGGTTCATTAAATTCATCTGATAATGATCTGTCCAATCATAGTCTTCTTTATCAACTAAAAGTTTGTTTGATATAAATTAAACGATAGAACAAAAAAACAAAACACATCAATTCTTTTTTTCTTTTCATTTTATTCAAGGATTGTGAATATGAAATCACTCGATTAAAAGGTTTACTTGATGAAAATTGTCGAATTAAAAAAAACGATGATATGACAACAGGTGAAGTAACTCGTTCGTTAGCTGATGAATTGACAGAAGTACGTGAGATATTTTCTTTTAATTTTATAATTCATTATAATTTATTTATAGATTGCAAAATGTGTAACAACAGCACGTATTCAATTAGAGAATCGTATTGAACAACAACGTGGATTTCTTGTTGAATTAGATTCACTTATTAATTGGTTAAAAAATTTTGTTAATGAATCAAAAACAATTGATAATCAAGTAAAAAAAATAAAAGAATTTCTTTTCATTTTATGTTTTGTTTTAAGTCAATTAAATTAGCTTTAAATGAGCGTAAACAACATTTCGATGAATTAATTAAATGTAGTCAAATAAATGATCATGGTGTTAAAGATAAAATTGAAAATTTAACTCAAATATGGAATCATTTAACATCATTAAGTAAACTATCATTATTAACTTATTTCTTTTTTCTTATTTTAGAAAATAGTCACTATGATTACATTGCATGTTAAACTAATCCTTTTTTTTCTCTATTCTTCTTCTTCATACAACAATAAGTGCTAATAATAATCACTAATAGAAATTTATGAATAACATTGATAGAGATAAAGACCAGACACATCACATGAGAAATATATAGACATATATATAATTGAATTTTCCTCGCATCCTGTATCTTTATTTATTGCGTATCCGATATTTAGTTGTCGAAATATAAAGAATCAAATACTTAGCTTTTCTATTTGGGTTTGTTTTTTATTAAATCATTTGAATATATTATTAGGAACAAAGTTTGATAGACAATTATAGATACACATACAGATATTTATATATAAATAGAAAAGATTGTAATAGATAAAGATGTTATTAATGACGTAATATAATGTAATAGATGAACTACATCAACAAAATACTAATACACTAACAACTCATTATTTGTTAGGTTCGTTGTGATTAGTTACAACGCGCATAATAATAAATATGAATGCACATATATCGGATGCATCTACTCATCGGCGCGTCGCCTGACCAAATTTTTATTCTCTTGTTCTCCTATAGTTGTGAAGTACAGACACATACCGCCTGAAGTGAGTTGATCATCATCATCATCACCATCATCATCATCATCTTACTACTTTCTCGTATTTTTATGTTCTCTATTGTATGTGTCTTGAGTGTACACATGATTTCAAGTTCTCCTATGTCTGTTCATACATTTTTCTACCTTTCCTTTCTAACATATGCTCTTCACAACTAAAGAACAATAGTTCACCTCTTTACGTTGTTACAGCATAATTGCAGAAGTTGTCGAGTAGTGCCACTTTCTTATTTTCTGTTCTGTTGTTAGTCACTGATTCATCGTCTACAGTAACTACACAATTATCTACATCATCACCACCACCTTTACCACCACCACCGCCGCCGCCGCCGCCACCACCACCACCACCGCAATTATTATCATCAGAGCAAAATTCACATTCGAAATTAATTGACGAAGCAAAACAATTACTAAATATTATTGTACAATTAGGTAATCGTGAAGAAATTGAACAACTTAGAAATCGAATCCAAGTAAATATAAAAATTATTGATATAATTAATTCATATTCTTTAATATCATATAGTCTTATCTAACAAATATTGATCTAAATACTTCTAATGATCAACTTCAAACAAATTCTAATTTGAAATTCTATCTACCTGATCAATGTATAAATATCTGTTTTATATTTCATTGTATTATTTCGATTTCGTTCTTTTTTTTTTTTGTTTTCTTCTCTATAGTACATGATGAACTTATCACTAGACAATCGATACTAAAACAAATGTTAATCGATACGACACATATTGATCATCTTCGTGTTAATTTCGTTTCACATTTTCATAGTGAAAATGATCATCGCAAAGAAAATGATGAAGTTTTAAATATTATTAATAACTATCCACAAGAAATGACAAGTCAAATACGGCAATGGTTAAATGAACAACAAAAATCTCGTGTTATAGCACCATTAGCAACTGTGGATACATCACGAAGTATTGATGATTTCGATGAATATATTAGAGAACTTGAAGAAAATATTATATCATATGAACAAAATCATAATAATGAAGTGAAATTAAAGGTTCTATTTTATTTTTTTTCGATTAAATTAAAAATAATTGCATAATATTTTATTACATTATATAGAAAATTTTTCAACAAATTGAAGAACGATCAAATTTAACACATGATGATAGACAACGTCTAGAAAATTTACGACAAAGATTTTTCTACGCACAAAAACATATTGAAGAAAATCGAAAGAGATATTCATCGTCAATGATAAATACTGATCAAATTATTGATGATATTGATTTATTAATTAAATATTTAAAAGACATTGATGAACAAATACGAACGAATGCTATACAACCTATTAATGATTATGAAAGACTTATTCCTGATTGTCAAGTAAGATAATAATTTCTAATTAGTGAAATATTCTTTCTATTTATTTGATTATAATAAATGAGCGAAAATTATTCTTATAATGATAGAAGAAAATTGGAAGTATAAATAGATATACTAACTTAAGGTTATTAATATAGAATAGATATCCAAGAACAGACGATTTATATCTTTTAACCTTTGATGTTCGCTTCTAGACATTCTTTATAATATATAGTATCTATACTGTTTATGACAGCTGTCACAAATGTAGCAGAGAAAGATTTCATCTGGGATATTACAAATATTGATAATAAACAAATAAAAAATATCTTTTTTGACATTTTAAATAAAAGACGAAAAAAAAAATTAGTTTTTAATTATTCTTAAATAAAACGAATTTCTTAACTAAATCAATTCATATAACATATGATTAAGAAAAATGAGAAAAGATATTTGAATATTGATCATGCTCTCTATTCATCCGTAATGAAGTGACACTCAATAATACTTTATGCAAATAAAGGAAATAACTGCAATCTTTGTTCTCTTTTGTCTCGAACATATATATATATATAAATGAGGCTATTCTATTTCATTTTCTTTTTTTTAGCGTATTATTACTGAACTTGAACAAAATCTTCGTCCACACGTTGAACAAGTTATTACGACTAGTAAACGTTTATATACCACAGATAATAAAGATAGTAGTGGTGTTGAAAGTGCTGGTAAGTAAATGATATGATATGATATGTTTTATTTAAAGATAAAGAGAGGTCGTTTCATACATTTCATATATATTATATTTTTTATTCCTTCAATATGATTTGTTATGACAATCAACCAGTGAAAAAGAAAACATTTCTCCTTTTTCCAATCTGTCTGTCTGACTAACCCTGACCTTTTTATTCATTTTTCGATAATTTATCATATTACTAAATTTATTTATTTATTTATTTATATTTGATTTTCTTAGACGAAAGTGGAGGAGGCATTGGATCATCATCATCGCCTTCACCTCCATTAAAAAAACATTCTGATTTAACATTACGTAAAGTTCGTCGACATGTTCTTCAATTAACACAACGTTGGAAAAGTGTAAATACAAATGTTCGACATCGTTTAAAAATTTTACAACGTGCTCATACAGTAACTATTTCAATTTAATTGTTTCTTTTACTTTTTCTCAATCAAAAGACAACACTTCTTTTCCAATTATAGGCCGTAGACGCATTACGTCATCAATGTGATCAATTACATGCACATTTACTTGAAATTGAACTTGCTCATGCTCATCAACCACATATACGAACAATAAACGCTGATCACGTTCCAGTTGAAATAGAACAAGCAAAAGTAATTGAAATATTTATCTTAGACATTGACATAAAATGTCGCAAAAATTTTTCTTTTTTGCTATTTCAAAAAATTCTTAACAGGATAAATATTTGTTTGAGCAACAAAAAAAACGAAGAAAAGATTTCATTCGACATACATATTCGTATCTTATGATATATATTCTTGAAGTTAATTCAATGAAATTGACTGTCTATTTTATTTATGAATAGGATACGCTTGTTAATTTTGACAGAAGACAATTTCCTTTTTTCTATTTAAAAATTTACCGGAATAATATATGTGACTCTCTGTTGGAGCATAGTTTCACGTTATAAACATTTACGTAGTTATTTTTTATTTAGCATGTAGAAAATTATTCTCATCTAATAAATCACGTAAGACTCGTTTTTTTTTGAAAAAGAATGTAAAGTAATACGATTAGACTATGTACTAGAGTCAATCTATTTTAAATCAGATATTCGGTAGTATGACCATTTATTCATATATTCAAAATACATTCGAATGCATAATTAATACACTATAGAATTCTATGAATATATATTGAGAAGTTTTATACGATCGAAGAGACATTTCTCTTTTCTTAATATTATAGATGCTTGATATTGACTGATTCTATTGAAAAAATATTCTGATTCATCAATAAAATCGTCGTCGTGGGTTTTTTTCTGAGTAGGATTGTTTACTTAGATATGTCTGTTTAAGATATAACAGCTGTTAATATTCATTAATCTGCATGACAAAACAGCATTATTCCGACTTTTTACCTTTAAAAAAACAAATATAAGATCTCTGATAATTGCTATTAACATTATATATAAGCAATAGAAATAAATGACAGCATAGTTTATACCATATATATCCTAGAGATAGATATTTCATCAGATATGTATATGTATAGCGTTATTTAGCCTTAAGTAAGACTATATTACTATTACTATCAGTAAATCAATTCTTTTTTCGAAGTATATCGTCGATATATATATATATATATATATATAGAGTATAATTAATATATTGCGGTTGAATAAAAAAAACTTTTTCTTTTACTTGCAGCGTTTTTTGTCAACGCTGATGTCATGTAAAACATCGATTGATGATGTTCAACAATTAGCACATACAATTGAAAGTGAATATGATATACATTCAGTAAATCGTGTACAAGAACTTACTCGAAGGTATAAGAAATATTAAAATAAGAAAATTTTATTTTATTTTGTGTTTTTCAAATAGATGGGAACATTCATTACAATCAGCATCTCAACGAGTACAATCATTACAGGAGACAATAAAAAATACTGATACTGATATATATTCAAATTCAGTTGAATATCCATGGCAACGTTCGATTGCTTTTAATAAAGTACCTTATTTTATCAAGTAAATTATTATTATTATTATTTATATTCTTAATTGACTTTGTTTTAATTTAGTCATTCCGATCAAAGTACATCTTGGGATCATCCAAAAATGTAAATAAATCATATGCTTCGTATATATAGGCTAGCTTTGTTCTTCTAGGCTTGAATTAATGCGTTCGTTTTCGAATTTAAATGATATTCGTTTTTCTGCTTATCGTACAGCTATGAAACTTCGTACATTACAAAAACGTCTTTGCCGTATGTTATTGCCTATCTTGAATAAGAAAAAAATGAGTTTTTTCGGTTTGATTTTTAGTTGATTTAACATCACTGAGTGATATTATAAGTGTATTTGAAGAACATCAAACAATGAATTCACCAAATAAAAATATTGATAAATATATTGATGTAACAGAAATTCTTTATTATTTACAATCAATATTTGAAAAAACAGCTAATGAATATCCACAATTAATTAATGTTATACTGACAGTAGATTTAACACTTAATTGGCTATTAAATATTTATGATATGTAAGCAAAAAATTCAATGATTTTTATAACAGAAGAAAAATTTATATATATATTTTTTTTAGTAATCGAACGGGTTCGATCCGTTTATTAGCAATTAAAATGGCATTAGCTTTACTTTGTAGAGGAAATATTGAAGAAAAATATCGATGTAAGGGGGATTTTATTTTATATAAGTATATTTAGGTACTTTTTTGTTTAGATATATTTTCATTAGTGGCATATCCATCGACAGAAAACGATGGAAAAGATGTAGTCGATAGACAACATTTATCAATTCTATTTCAACAAGCCATTGTTGTATGTATTATTTAAATCAACATCATAAGAAATAGAGAAATTATGCCTTTGAATTATTCATATAAACCATGTTCGAATCTTAATTAAAGACAACATTTGACATATTTCGATTTCATAGACAATGAGACAGTTCATTTTGATATCTCGAGATTTTGACAAGAGAAAAAAATGATTTCTACATGAATGAATAGTTACTATTGTATGCCTATACTTGTCATAAGTTATAAATTCAATTAACTTTTAGTAATTTATGAATTAAATCTTTCATAGTTACTAATAGAAAAGAAAAATGTCGATTCTATTCATATATATCAACGTATTGTTCACTATATGATCTAATGGAGTACTTATATAATACTTGAAATATATATAATCGAATAATGTATTATTCATTAAGTCAATATAAAATTCTTCGCTGAAACTAATCTGATTTTTTTTCTTCTTTAGATTCCGAAACAACTTGGCGAAGTTGCTGCATTTGGTGGATCAAGTGTTGAACCAAGTGTGACCAGTTGTTTTGATTATGTAAAAATTTTGTTTTATTGAAAAAAGAGATTCATAATTTATGTCTTAGGCGCATAATCCTGATGTAATAACTGCAAATGATTTTCTTGAATGGGTTAAATTAGAACCACAATCACTTGTTTGGTTACCTGTTATGCATCGTCTAGCAGCAAGTGAAGCAGCTAAACATGAAGCACGTTGTAATATATGTAAAATCTATCCGATACTTGGCTTTCGTTATCGTTCATTGAAATATTTTAATTGTGACATTTGTCAAAATTGTTTTTTTTCTGGTAAACAAACGAAATTTTTCAAAATGGATGATCCATTACAAGAATATTATACTGAAGTTTGTATTTAAAAAAACATTCTAATATGAAATTATTTGTTTCTGTTTAAAATAGACAACATCATCCGAAGATATTCGAGATTTTTTTCGTATATTTAAAAACAAATTATGGAGTAAACATCGAAAACATCCTAAACTTGGTTATTTACCATTACCACATGTTTTTGATAATAATATTCCAACAGCTTCTCAACAACCATCTCCAACTCCTATGTTAATTCCAGTTTTAACAGCACCGCATAAGTATAAAAACAAAATTTCATTTCGTATTATTTTCACACTAATCATTTGTTTCATATAGATCAGATATCGGAACTATACAAACTGTTTCTGCTCCTATTGAATCGTATGAATAGAAATTATTTTCATATTTTTTGTGAATTTATTTTTTTAATATTTAGAACCGATGAACATGGTATCATTGCACAACATTGTCGAAATTTAAATAATTTTGTACACTCATCGGTAGGACAGCGGTTGTTGAGAAACATGATAATAAATTAATTTTTATATTTTAGCCTCGTGTTGCTGCCCATGATATTTTAACTCGTTCTTGTTCACTTGATAATGATCAACGTAATGAATTAGAAGCTATTATTCGTGATCTTGAAGATGAAAATCATCTATTACAAAATGAATATGAACGTTTATGTCATCAACATATGGAAAAATCTTTAATTATTAATGATCAACATCAACATTTTTATCAAAGTGATAGTCAATTAGGTTCATTATCAAATGATTATAATTCAAGTGATCGAGAAATGTTACGTGAAGCTAAACAACTACGTCATCATAAAACAAAATTAGAACAACGTATGAAAATTCTTGAAGAACATAATAAACAACTTGAAAAACAATTAAGGAGATCAAAACAATTATTATTCCGAGAAGTAAGAAAATGACGGATTACCTTCAAAATCTCGAAAATGTAAAACCTCGAAATTGGAAAAAACCTAGAAAATAATCTCAAAGCATCTTAAAGGCGGCTGTGGGTGTGGTTACCATAGATATGATACACCAACATCCACACCAGTACCCACCCCACACTCACACCAGTACCCACTCCACACCCATACTCACACCCTCAAGATGGTTTTTCGAAATGTTCTCTTTCGAAAATACGATTCTTCGAGATTTTGTCTTTTCGCCATTCCCTTTTTTCTTTATTCGAACTTTTTTTCTTCGAGATATTTTTTCGAGATTTTTATATCATCCCAAAACGACGAAATAACAAATTTTTAATTTCATTTTTAATATTTAGTCTCCTTTATTACATCATCATACTAGTAGTACTAGTGTAACTGATTATCGACCAGCAACAACATCAAGTCCATTACATAGTTCATCATCAGGTTTAAAACGTTCAATGGAAAGGAATCTTGAAAGACAACCAAGTAATAAATCTATATATTAAAGCAAGAAAAAATATGACAAAATCTTTTCTTTTTATTAGATTTAATAACAATTGATAATTTATTTCATATGGCTGATGATATAAATCGTGCTGTTGGTGATCTTGTTTCTGTTATAACTGAACCTCAAACAAATGGTTCAGCATCTTATTATCAACAACTAAATACTTCGATAGCAACTTAAAGTGCAATTACTATGCATTTTAACTTTTTTTCTTCTCGTTCATTTTTTCTTTCTTCTTTTCTGTGTGATGTTTGTGTGCAATGCAATCAAACAGTGTGCGTTTTCTTTTTTTCTTTTTAAATTTAGTTTGAATTATATTCTCAGGGTGGTGATAGTCAAATATATTACGACTAATCACATATCATCTGTTGTTTTTTTCTTTTGTTGTGGAGAATTTCTTTTTTTTTCTGCATGTCTAAGTCATCCTTTATATATGTATCATTGTGGCCCTACTTTATATATGTGTGTATTTACATATATACATATACATTTTACCGGATTGGAAAGAAACAGAAAATAATATTTTAGATGTTTTGATTTCTATATTCAGCAATGAAATGCTTTGATTATTTACTAAATAAGAATTCATATACATCAAATATCATAAAGGAGAGTTTTGTTATTCTAAAAGAAAATTTGATATATAATTATTTCCGATAGATAAAAGTACTTATGAAAAATATAATGAAAAAATTTGTCCTGAAATCAAGAAAATAGTCTAATTATTTTCTGATTGTACTCAATAGACGTTATATTTTTCAGATATTAATTTTGATAGATTAAAATGGAATCGCCATTTTCTGATATGGATTGGCTTGATACAGCATCGAATACTCTTGATCTTGCTATACAAAAAGGTCTTTATACAGAATTTAGTCATTTAAAATCGGATCTTGATCGTATTCGTTTTATACATAATCATCGTTCAAGTCTTTTATCAAATACATTTGAACGTTATTTATCATCGACATCATCATCTCTAACAAAAAATGCAACAACAGCAATAAATTTTCGTAAAAAAGGAAATGATTATTTTGTTAATAAAAATTTATCACGTGCAGCATGGTGTTATCGTGCAAGTATAGCATTATCAATAATAAATAGTCAAGATATGGCATTATCATATGGTAATTTATCAGCTGTTCTTTTTGAATTAAATCATTATCATGAATCAATACGTGCTATTCAATTAGCAAATGATTTTTATCCGAATGAACTCAAATTCAAGTAAATTTTAAAATTTCGTTTTTTTGAATGAAATAAGTTTTTATTTTTTTTTAGACTAGTTTTTCGTCGTGCAGCTTGTTATCATAAATTAAATGATCCTGAACGTAGTGCATATGAACTTAAGATATGTCGCGATTTAATAAAGAAAACGGCTGGACTTGATAGAAAAAAAATTGATTCATTTTGTAAAGAAATGGATCAATTAAGTGGACAAATAGCACTTTTAAATAAACGAAAAGAAGAAGAACAACACCAAGAACAAGAACATACGAAATCATATAAAAATCTTGATGATCTTATTCAACATTCACAAACACCAACTGAAACCTTAGCTACTTGTCTATTGAAATCTACAGAAGAAAAACTTGATAATGAATTTTGTCCACCATCACCTCCATCACCACCTCGAAGTGTTTTTCTCATTAATGAATCAAATTTATTATTACATGGACCTAATGAACATGTACCTTGTGCTAGTACAACTTTAAATGTTGCATATTCAAAAGATAAAGGACGACATATAATTGCTAATCAAGATATTCCATCGGATTCATTAATACTTAACGAACGTCCATATGCTTGTTTATTATTACCTAAATTTGCTTATACTTACTGTGATCATTGGTTAGTATATTATTTTCAAAAATAATCAAAAAAAAAGAAATTTATAGTATAACAGTAAGCCATGAAGGATGTCTAGAAGTAGGGTACGGCGGTTCCAAAAAAATGGAACCGGGGCCGCGCTTTAAGCACGATTTTGGGTAGTTTATGGGACCGAAACCGAACCGAAACCGCTCTTTTCTCGTTTCTACTGACCGGAACTGCAGTTCAGGTTCCGGGTAATTTTTGAAACCGCCGTACTCTACCTGGAAGAGATTCATTTGAGGATGAGGACAACATTAATCTTTAGCATGTGGTACCATCTGATGTTGAAGGCTAAATCATTGTTTTCTATACATTAACAAGACTTAATTCTATAAAATAAATTTATTATCTTTTTTCTGTATTTTTAGCTTAACTTCTATTGTTATCCCATATGTGTGTCCTCAATGTTCTCATGTTCTATTCTGTAGTGAACATTGTCAACAACGTGCACTTGCTAGTTATCATCAATATGAATGTAAACATATTCATGTACTTAAAACATTAGGAATTGCTTTTCTTGGTAGAATATTATCTTATTATATTTTATCATTTGTAAATTTTTGTTCTAGCTTATCGTACATTAACAATAACTGATCATGAAACATTATGGACAACAATAACACAAACAACAATTCCGAATGAAAATGAAATAAAAACAAATTCCTATAAATCCGATTATTTTTCTATACAAAAATTAATCACACATACAGAACAAATGTCTATAGATGATTTATTTCATTATTCATTAACAGCTTATTTACTATCTGAAATAATAAAATCAACAAATTTTCTACAATGTAATCAAATAAAAAAACGTGATACAGAACAAATTCTACTTGCATCAATATTACTTAAACATATACAACAAATGATTTGTAATGCTCAAACAATATCAATAACAAAAACAAATCAAATCGATGAAATTATTTTTGATAATGAAGATGATCAAGATGAAATAACAAAACGTTTTGCATCGGCTATATTTCCAACATGTGCATTAATGAATCATTCATGTGTTCCAAATATACGTTGTGTATTTGATCAAGGATATTTACGTGTATATACAGCAAGATCAATACGTCAAGGTGAAGAAATTCTAAATTGTTATGGACCACAAAAAACTTTAATGCCATCGACTGAACAAAGACAAAATGTTCTATTCGAACAGTATTTTGTAAGTTTTATATTATAGTTTTGTTTATTTTTAAAAAAAGATTTATATTTTTTAGTTTAAATGTCAATGTGAAGGATGTATTGATATGATAAAATCACAAGGAGATAAAATGACAAATGGTGAGAATTAATTTTCATGTTAAATTTATTAATTTTTATCAATAAAATTTAAGTTTTTATCTCGAAGAGTATTATATGACAAGGTTGTTTTACTATTCAATAAATGTCACTAACGAAAAAAAACAGATTTTCAGATATACACACTAGCTGACGTGTATCTTAATTCTAAGATTTATCTTACAGATTATAGGATATTTCGAAATCATCATTGAGTAATCCATCATGAAATATATCATGTTACATTGGAGTTAGAATGAGAAAACATGTTATCCGAGGTATAATTAACCTTTTCATGACTGGATTCTTTTTTCTAAAACAAAGGAATACAATACGAAATTAGTTAAAGTTAATTAATTTTTCTTTTAGTTGACTTTATTCACCTTTTCGGGACGGTCACAGCGCATATATCTGTCACCCACACCGGCGATCACAGTAATATCAGTTAAAAAAATAGATAAATATTATGCATCCAGAAATATCGATCTTTTTGAGACAGACGGCCACTATAATGGTCATCCGTCCCGAAAGGGTTAATTGTAAAGTAAAATCGTATTTATCAGCCGGTTGATACCTGGATTGTTATATAGTAAAAAGAAACATACTACTTCCGATTTAAAGACAAATGCTATCGAAAATATATATCAAACATCGCTACACTATGATAAAATAGTTTTTAAGATGTATGAGTAATCTGACATAGAACAGGAAAGAATTAGTAAACTTTGAAAATATACTTTTTTTCTCAATTTTTCGCAAGCGAATATTGGATTCTATCCGATATGATGACAGTTGGATATTTTACAAAATTGAAAAATTAGTAGGTCTTATAGCTATTAACCACATACTAAATTGGGTGGAGTGTTTTGGTTGTAAGATAGTTCTAATTAAATTATTTCACAAACACAAAATAATATGTTTTGTAGTTATACTAATGACAATTTTCTTTGTAGTTCAGTATTCTTTATATGATTACTAAAATTTAATATTATTTATATGTGTATTTGTTTCTTTTTGTTTTCATGTCGCAAAACGAAGACATCCACTACACGTAAATTACATAATCATAAAACTCTAATAAATAATACAAATGATCAATCACCATTACAATCATTAATTGTTCATGATAGTCAACAAAACAATGATCTTACGCGTTTTTATTTAACAACATCAGATAAATTACTCGAAGCAAAACGTATATTTTCTCAAGGTCTTTCTTCATATACACAAAATCATTCATCATGGGAGACAAGTTTAAAATTATTTCATGATTCAATTCGACTCTATGAACAATTATTACGTGAAATTAATCTCGATACTGTAAATCTTTATGAATATAGTAAATAAAAACAAACAATTAAATTAACTATTTTTTTAAAATAAAATTCCGTTTTTAGTTGCTTCAATTTATAATGATCGTAATCAATTTGAATATACATGTATGTATTTAAATAAATGTATATCAATATTAAAAATGAATTTATCAACATCATGTTCATCAACAACAATACTTCTTGTTGATGTACTTCGTAAATATGCTCAAACATTATTTAATTGTCGAAAATTTGATGATGCACGTCGTACAATAATTGAAGCACAATTATTACTTGATCAAATGACACCAACATCAACAATATCAATAAATGAAGATGAAAAACGTACAATTGGTGTTTTACAAACAATTGAAGATTTAAAAGCTAAATGTGATCTATGTCTTGGTTAAGATTATTTGTTATTGTTATTTTCTTTTCTTTTCTTTTTTTCTCATCTAAAAATGATGCAATCAGTTTCCTCTTTTTTTTCCTTTTGATATTGATTATCGGTGCTATTTTGTGGTTATTGTTCGTTCTCAGGGATAATGACCATTTTTTGATGGATTCATAAAGAATAAGTATTGTATTCATATGAAGTTTCTTTTGTCTTATTCTTGACTGAAAATTCCATTTCTTTTTTTTATATTAATTAAGATTATCAGTATGCGAGTGTTTTCTTTTTCTTACGATGTGATTTTCTGATGGATAAGATAGACATTGCATATACAATTTCAGAAAATATCGATAGATCGTTAAGTTTTCTAAGAAAACAAAGAAAGTGAGGTTTGGCGTTTTTTTTAGAATGAAAAGTAACTGGATTAGGATCGAATGACATGAATAATTCAATATGAATATGAAACATTTGAACTGTGCTTTGAATAAATAGTTATATATATATATATAGGATTAAAAATTCTTACTTTAGCCTTCGACAGTAATGAAACATGTATCAAATATCTATGTCATTAGTAATGCTCTGCTTTGTTATGTGAGTTCTAGTATTTCTTTAGTCAATTACTAATTATTTTTCTGTGGTATATATATATTAACAAAAATGATTATAAGTACGAAAGATTTTCTATATATATATATATAAATTAATAATAAAGGATTTAAGTATTATTAAAATATAAACGATAGTAAAATCTCTAATGTCATAAATCTTCAAAAGGTAATTAGAATTTGTACATAGAATAGAACAGTAAGTGAATGATTTGTATCTATTAAGAATATTATCATGATTATTAACGAATAAATATATTTTACAATATAACAATCTTTATCTAGATTGATAAATTTTTATTTTAACAAACTTCCTGTTTTTTTGGTGTATACAAAAATAACTTAATTTACGAACAAATATCGATGATGTAATTTTTTTTTTTCTATTTAAACTCGTATTCATATTTCATTTGTTGATAGAATATAGATATACTATTTCAATTAATTCTAACATATGAATATGTTAACTTCTTAGAAAAAAATTCTTCAATTTCAAATTGAACATCTCTTTCTCTCTCTGTCTTACATCATTTAATTATGTTCATCAACTATATTCTTTTTCTTCTTAGTATACCATAGACTAAATGTACGTGGGATATTTGTATTTGTTATTGGAGATGATAAATGAGATTTCTTATTAATTTTCACTTGACGTTGTTTAATAAAATCTTTCATGATTTTATTTTGTTGTTTTGTTTCAATTGTTAAATTTTTCAATGAATTTATTACTGAATTATTATTATTATTATCAACTAATTCATTTTCATACCTAATAATTTATACAAAAAAATAAAATTATATTTCTAATAAATATATATTTTAATACATTTTTGTTTGATTAATACATGTATAAACTAAAGCTTTTTCCATATGATTTCTATCCATTTGTATTTGACATGTAGAAGATGATTCAATTTGATTACAATATTTTCTTGCAGCATTATTAGCAGGTAATAATATTAACAGACATAAATCATTTTTATTAGAATATTTAATCATATAGAAATACTTCTTTGTGTCTTTTAATCTCTGTCATAGTTACATAAACGAATAAAAAAAGACTTTTTAATTGTCTAAAATCAAGCTAAATTCTAATAGAAGGAATGTTCTATTGAGAGAAAAAAATGATGTGTGACTATATATGTACACCGACATCATTTTCTTTTTCATTATGTGGCATTGAGTTCGAGTGGAACAACCTCGATCGTTTGTGCTCAAACAAAATCATTGCCTGTGCTCAAATCACAAGTGCGTGTCCATATTGTACTTTGTATAGTCTATCAAGGACGAGTGATCTAAACGAACATACATATGTATGTATATTTATACACAATGATGATGACGATAATGATGATCTTTTACGTTTTTTTTTTACAGACTGCGAGTCATTTTAAGTAGCACTCGATTTCAATTGTGTATGTATGTCGCTCTTTTTTTTACTAAGTGAAGTTCAAGGTAGTATGGCTGGTTTTGTAAAAATAATGAAAGAATCGAAATATACCAACAAATAGTAGAATTCTTTTTTTTTCTCTTTCTCTCTGCTAATAGTTTAATAGATAGATTGAATGAAGTAGACTGTTCAAGGTAATTACTTATATATATATATTATTTCTATGAGATAACTGAGCCGGAAATAGAAAATGTGTATGTGTCTTCAACAGTACATTCATTTTAATCAAGAAAGTTGTTGAATGCGCTTAGGGCATTTCATTTTCAATTTTTTAGCAGCTAATCATAAACATGTGACTTATGTGTATTTTATAATCATCATAGGTGTCTGCACATTTAGTTAGTTTAATATTAGTTAGAAAAAGAGGCCGAACTAATCATTTGCACCTCAACATTTCCGCATATCTGATCTTCTCTTCCGCTTGTTTCATTTCATTACACTAGATTTTTTGCGTCTCTAATTATATCTTTTATACAAGCATTATCATCATCATAATAATGTACATGTTTATATTCACCGTTATGATGAAAGAAGAGGAGAAAAGGAGAGGAGAGGAAAGGAAAAGTGAGTTTCGCTTTTTCCTTTCTTTCTCTCTCTCCCCTCTCTCTCTCTCTTTTCCTGTCATCTCTTCGTCGTTTTCATCATTATGCGCTTGGAAGAACATGGTTGTCGTATCTTTCTTTTTCTCTCTTGAATCTCTTTCATAAGCTTTATGTTCACTAGTTACAACGTTTTGAAGGGATCAAGTAAGTAAGTGTTTGACAAGCAGTCAGATGAGTAAGTTCAAAAAAAAAAAAAGAAAGAAATTTCATTCGATTCTTTTGTCTTGTTTTAAATCAAAGGAAACAACTGTCTGACATTTATCGTTGTTGATGAATATGATCATTGCTCAGTTAATAAAACAGTAAAGAAAAATGAGATTTAATGAACTGGATTTCCGGTCTCAGACTTTATTGACCATTGGTCGGCTATTCTCTTTAGAAAAAATGAATTAGATTGCGTGCTAAATTGAAATTGGACCTGAACAGTCTCCTCATTTCTTTCTTCTTCGTCTTCTTCTCTTTTTTGTTGTAATCGTCAAAATGGCTCCCATCGAAAGAGATTAGAAATTGTTATTTGTACAAACTTTACCGGCACGCATGCACATCAGCAGATGGCACACATACATATATATATATATATAAAATACATACTAACCATAGTAAGATTATTTCTTCGTCATTCATTCATTGTTATATTGTTTCGTAAATTTTTTTCAAGAGCAGGGTGTGGTAATATCTATCGATTATTGAACACTAGTTTATTCAACTGAAATGAATTAGATGCACCTGTGGCGAGAAAATATATGTCAATCAAAAAAAAATGACATAGTCTATAGTATGATTACGAGATATATATATACCTGAAGTACCGTTAACCATTGACTTGGCATGTATATATATAAACACTTAATAATAATAGTAAGATTCATATAGTTACTGTTTTACATTAAAAAAAAGAACAGAGGTTATCACATACATATGAATATATATGTATATGTATACATATATACATAAACAGAATCGAAAGAATGTTTGCTAACTATCCAGAGTAAAAATGTTAGAAAAACACTAGAGAAATGTAGATGAAAGAATGCTTAGTCTCAAAACGGGACATCATATAAATTAGGTTCGTTTCTTTCTTATTAATCTCAGTATGTAAGATCAACCTTTTGTTCTGTCATTGTTTTTTCTATTAAAAATTGCTACCGCATGTATTATCTTTATACATAGATGTGTATGTTCAACATTTAACTGTAAGTTTCATTTTCTATTATCTTCTTCTTCTTCTTCTTCGCTTTTTTTTGACGAAATATACAAATAATTACTTTCAAATTATAGAGTTCAATGATAAACGTAGATCGCATGTTTGATTTTTTGTCTTTCATTTGAAAAAAAAGTTGATCTATCTTCGATAGAAATATGTTCATTTTTTATTTCATTTTATCATTCATTACACATCGTCGTGTATTACTCGAGTTCATATGATAATGATCTCTATCGTAGTCAATTACAGTATATGCACAAAAGCGTTAAAAGTTGTGTGATCTATGTCGAAAGTTGGCATTCCTGCTGTCATACATTAAAATACGAAGTCAACAGGCGGTGTGTCCTCCGCATAGACTGACCTCATCTTATATTAAATAATAAAAAGCCGACGAGATGAGATGAGATGACACAACACGCGCGTTATGCTTGATAATCGCTAATTCAATTAAAAATACTTATACCTGTACAAAACTGAACATTTATATCATTTTTCATCTAGTTGTAATAGTATGGTTTAATCATGCGAAACAGTAAGTAGGTCTTTTTCTCTCTCTCTTGATGAATACAAATATGATATACAATATTCATTCGTATTCAACTTAGCTGATAACGATCGATCAAATTGAAAGAAAATAGCATCGAAAGTACATCGATAGAGTCATTCTATAGGCTTTTTTTCTTCGTTCGAACATAATATATGATTTCCGATCATCAAAGGTATTACAAATGACCTTTGTCGATCGTTTTCTTACAAAGAACAAGTCATTATCTCATAGAACAAAAAAGAAACTTCTACAATCATATATATATATACTCTTCGATATTCACTTAGACATACAACAGTTGTTGTATGTGATTGACACTTTCAATATTCGTTCCATTTATTTTAATATCTATCCTAAGGCATCGGTCTTCCTTTTATAAAACACAATCCAATTAGTTTGATGAACAGGTCTGTCGGTTTGTTCGTTTTAGAACTAACAGAAGTAAAAGAGATTATATGAGCAAAGAGGAGAAGAAGAAGAAGGAAAAAAAAGCATCATGCTGATTTTTAATCTATTTGCGCGCGATCAACCGATATCAAAAAGAAAGCAAGGTCGTTGATATACACATTGAACGGATGACAGAAAAGAAAAACATCGTTCCTAATATTTAATCATACATATATATACAATCTCTAATTACAACAGCAGTCGTTTTTCCAATCTGTCAGTGTCGCATTTCCTATTCTTCTTTTTATTTTAATCCTTATATTATTCATGTATTTCAGGTAATGGACGGGATTAGTTGACAATGGTGACAATGAATATTATTTGTTTATTCATATTTGTACTTATCTTTTCAAGTACAAAACAATTTGATCTAGGTAATAAATAATTATGAAAGAATAATATATTCATATAAATTTTTTTATTATTATTTAAGAAACTTGTCGATCTCCATTAGGAATTGAAACAGGTAAAATATTCGATTCAGCTTTTTCATCAAGTAGCCATAATGGAATAAATTCAACTGCAGCGAAAGCAAGGTTTGATAATTAATATATTATTGAACTATTTGATTATTATTTTGTTGTTTAGAATTCGAAGTGAAAATAATGGATGGTGTCCAGTACATAAAATATCTACAACAACATATGAATATCTACAAATTGATCTAGTTAATTTAACTGTTATTACATTGATTGAACTGCAAGGAAAATTTAGTCAACAACCAGTAAGAAAAGATATTTTTTTTAAATATAATTTGAATTTTTTTCTTTCTTTCGATAGAATGAATATTATGCAGATTCATTTCGTATTGAATATCGTCGTGATAGTAAACAAAAATGGATTAAATATAAAGATTTTTCTGGACAATATGTAAGAAAAAGTTTTTTTTTCTTTTCATTTATAAAAATACAGAACATTTTTATGTTAATCATTCATTCCTGTTCTTGTCTTCAAAGCTAATTGACTTTTGTTAACCTTGATTAATCAAGAACAAAAGTCTAAGACTACATACATTTTTCCAGATGAGAAGATGTTTATATAATTATAACACATGAACTATTTGTTTTGTTTTCTATTTCTATTAATCATAGATTTTAAGTGGTAATACAAATAGTTATATACCAACAATACGTGATATTCTACCATCATTAGTTGCGAAACAAATTCGAATTATACCAATTGTAACTGGGCTAAAAGCAAAACATATTTGTATGCGTTTGGAACTTTATGGATGTTCATATCAAGGTTAAAGAAACTAATTATATTTTTTTTTTCAATAAACGAAATGTTATTCTTTTTCAGATGCTCCTATATCCTATTCAATTCCACAGGGAGATAAACGTGGTTACGAAGTACAGTTTATCGATGAAACATATGATGGACATTATGATAATGGAACATTAATAGGTAAATTACATCTTTAGAAAACCTTTTGTTTCCGAGCAAAAATCTGATTGTCATATTTGATGATTGGATTTTTGCAGTTTTAAGCTAAACCGGTTAAATCCTACCATTGTGTTCGGTTACTGAATTCTTGCTTCGAACTTTCTAACATTTTCCGGTACTGTCCTATGACAACGAGGGTATCCACTCCTGAAGTCTCACGTTCCTCCCTTGAGTGTAATGATCATACTGTTTAGGTCAAGTTAAGTAAACTCCAAGTTCGAAGTTTACGAGTTTCCAATTTTTTCTTGAGCATCACCAGTTGACTTAGTATCGCCCAGAGTATCTATTAGAGTAATCAAAAACAGATGATTACAGTTTTTCGCAAGAACTTAGATTTAGAGCACACTTAACTTGACCCACTGTTTAGTATTTCAATTTTTTATTTATTGAATATTTAGATGGTCTTGGTCAATTAACTGATGGAATTCTAGCTGGAGATGATTATCGTTTAGCAGATAATATTCAAGGTATAGGTCAAATTGGTTATGATTGGATAGGTTGGAAACGCAAATCATCAACATCATCAAATATAAATCTAATTTTTTATTTTGATTCAATACGAAATATAACTTCTATTCGTTTCCATACATCGAATTTATTTACACGTGACATATATTTATTTAATTCAATAATTATTACAAATTGTGACAATAGTATTAGTAGTAGTAGCAGTAGTAGTTTTTTTCTTATACCTGATGATTATATAAATACTCAAGCGAGATTTATAAATATATCGTTAGCTTCTGGTCATGGAATTATAACTAAATGTTTAAAAGTAACATTGACATTTAATAATCGAAGTAAATGGATACTTATTAGTGAAGTTTTATTTGATTCTGCACCAATAAATAATATAATTCCTTCATTAACAATGACAACACCAGATACTAATCATATACCACCATTGATTGGTAATAAAAATTATTCAAATAACTTTAACTCATATGTTTTGTTTTTGGTTCTTATTTAGATTATGGAATAACAATTATTCATTATTGGCAATGGTTATTACTTGCATCAAGTCTTTTTATACTTCTAGTTATTCTAACAATATGTGTTTATTTTCAATGGATTCAAACATTTCGACATCGACGAAAACTTCGAAAGTAATTAGATATTTTCAATCAATTTCATTGTTTTCTCTCTCTTAAATTCAATAGAATGACTACTCATTTAAAATTTCAAACAAATTATCAACCAATATCACTTAAATTTCCATCACGAGCAGGAATGAATTGTTGTTACACAACAGTATGTGATAGTACAATGGGTTGTAAGTTATTTTAAAGAAAAAAACTTCCCTTAAGTAAAATTTTATTTTAAATAATTAAAGCTGATGGTAATTCAACATGTTCAACATCACATAATGATATGCGTCGTCATTTGATTATTTCAACAGCAACATCACCAAGAGCAATAAGTGGATCAGATTTTGGTACAAGTAGTACAGCAAGCCCCGCAACAATGTCAACGATTTATCAATCAATTGTTAATCCTTATTTAACAGCAGTTAAAAATGATTCAGTTAATGTAGTAAGTTAAAGATAACTAGGGTCGAGCGTCGCCCCATTGAATGTTGCTCTAAGATGCTTTTTTTTGTTTTTATTAGACACCAAATCCATATGCTTCTATTGATACATATGCATATCCAATAGTAGGATCTGATAAAATAATTAATCCAGACAATTCAACAGTAAATATTCAAGGTCCTTGTGGAAATTGTACATATCAATCATTATCTACAATAAATAATTCTCTTACAACGCCATTAATTCCACGAATTGGCGATGAACAATTAATTATTGAAGAACGTTATTCAACAATGCATGGTCATTTTGGACAAGTAAGAACAAATAAACTTATTCTTGTTTTGTATTTTTATTATAAAAATTAAATAGATTGTTCGTGGTTATATCTATCTTCGTCATCCGTATAATATACTAAAATCTATTCTTATTAAAGCTTTAACAACAAATGATCTTACACAAAAGTAATAGTTAAAATTAAACAATTCTATTTTAATAATAAGATTTTTGAACATTTAGAGAATTATTTGATAGAGAACATGAATTATTAATTCGTTTAAATCATCCAAATCTTGTTCAATTTTTTGGTTATACAGTTAAACAAACTTATGCACTTATTGAACATAGTGATTTAGGTGATCTTTATACATTTTTATCAACAACACAATGTGTTAAACAAGATCAAATTTCACTTTCGTATGTATTTCAATATAATCTCATTTTAAATAAAAAATATTTTCTCTAGAATTAATGTGCATTTGTTTATCATAACACAAATATCCAATGCACTTCGTTATCTTGAATCCGAAAATATTCTTCATCGAGATATATCAGCAAGAAATTGTTTAATCTATCCAAATTATGAAATTAAATTAACAAATACAGCTATAGCTTCGTTACAATTTCAAACGCATTATTATAATATCAATCAACATCGTTTACCAATTCGATGGATGTCACCTGAAGCAATTTTAAATGTAAAAATTATTAATTATGTTTTATCATTTACTTTTACTTCTGTTTTGTTTCTAGAATGAATTTACTTCTCAATCAGATATATGGTCATTTGGTATAACACTCTGGGAAATAATGACAAATTGTTTAACATTACCATATGCTTTATTAAATGATGAACAAGTTTATCAAAGATTAAAATTAATGGGTACAAATCTAAATCAATCATCAGGTAGTTTACAATTATCAAAACCAGAATGTTTAAGTCGTGAACTTGTTGATTTAATGCTTGAATGTTGGCGTCCATATGGTGAAAGACCAACATTTAATGAAATTTTTAATTTTTTCAATAAACGACTTGATGGTATTAATATTATCTAACAACTTCGTCTTCTTCTTCTTCTTTTTTTTACAATTTAGTCATTAAATATTTGTGTGTTTGTTTGTGTGTCTTTTTAATAGAAATATGTCAAACATTTTGATCTCAGGAAAAGGTTCTTTTTTTTTTGTTGAATGTATGTGAAAAATAAATATTCTTAATCATCAAGAAATAAACTGTCTTGTTTATTATACTTTCTCCGAGTAGAACGCAGTGTTTTATCTAGCGGATGGGCTGAGTGAATGGCGCGCCCACCCCAAAAAACACTGGTAGAACGAACAGCTATACTTTTACACTATTAAACAATATGAAATAAGTTCGTATGAGAATGATAGTTTAGAAATTGTAAATAATCGGGGCGTAGCATTGTCTTTCTATTTCATAATTTTCTTATTTTTGTGAATTTGAAAGAAAACAGCAATCCTCTTACTGGTGATTGCGTAGGTAGAAAGAAAAAAAGCATGATGTAAATCGTCAACGGATGAAGTGGTAAAGGAGCTTTTAAATTTTTTCGCTTTTTTTTCTTCTCTTAGTAAAGAATGAAATGTTTGCACTATTGACATTCAATCACTTGCATAAATACAAAACGTTTTCGTTCGTTCCGCCTGCTTTTATAAATAATTTTGAAAACAAAATAAGAATGATGGACAAGTTAAATCTACATTTCTATTCCATAATTATTTTCGTTTTAATAATTCTATTATGTACTGGTCAGTAAAAATAATTTGAATTTTATTTATTTAATTATATATATATATATATTATCTATTTTGTTTTTAAGAAAGATCAACAGCTCAATTCGTTACTGTTAGTTGTTATGAATGCATAAATTGTACCGATCCATTTTCAACAAGTACCGCAACTGTCACATCAAATTGTAATTCATGTTATGTATGACTAATTTAAACTATCTTATATAATTTGTTGTCATCTTTTATTTTTAGAAACTAGCAATTAATGTTGCTTATGCTCCCTATCGTTATGTAGTTCGTAGATGTCTTGCAGCTTGTCTCGAAACAACTCAATCGTTTGGTGGTGGACAAATAGTCACTACTTGTTGTGCGAAAAATTATTGTAATGGAAGTTCAATGATAAAATTTCCAACAAGTTCTCGTTTATTACTTTTTATATTCATTATTCTCAATTTTCTCAAATATTTCTATTAATATTTTCATTTTTCTTTGCATTGAACTAATGGATTTATATTCTGTATAAAAAAGAAACTATCATAAAGAGATTAATAATGTTTGTAAAGAAATTGATTTTTTTTGTTCAGTTACATTGAAAATACATTCTTGCATAATAACTATGTACAACAATCGATATAAAAAAATGCACTCTTTTTATACATATAACACTTAATTCAATACTTGTTTGAACACATCTTTTGATGATATTATATCATCGAATATAGATCAGAATCTATTATGTAATATTAAATGAATTTAGATAAATTTATTTTTCTGTTTTGCAAAAAAAATGTACTTCAATCTATTCATCAGTTTCCATTAGTTTTAACCAAAGACGATCACATTGTTGCCGTACAGTATATGATGGTATGATACGTAAATGAACTGTAATCAATTCGAAACATACAATTGATGTTTGATAAGGTATCCATGGATAATGTTCTTCTGCTAGTGCTCTATTAAAAAAATTAGGGACATGTATATATAAAACAAGTTTAAAGAGAAAATTTATTATTACTTATAGAAATCAAAATGTAAAACACCAGGTGGTTGTGATTGTACAAAAGATTTGTAAAGTCGCATCGAAGCACCCTGAAAAGAAATTAAGAATATCTATTCTACTTAGACGATTTATGAAGTACAATTAAAATCGTTGGTATCGATCTATTACGTAACGGATTAATGATAGATGGGTGTGGATGGGTGCGGCTGTGACTCGGGATTTTGCCATTGTATCTGCGCCCACACCCACGGGTTAAAAGGTTAATGAGTTCTCTATACTTCTACTGAAAATCCTGATAACATACTGTTTGCTCTTGACAGACTATAAAAGCTGGAAGGATTATGAAACGAAGGTTCCGTCAAACTCATCCTTCCGAATATTAGTCTTAATTTTTATCTTTTGTGAGAAAAAACACATACATTACTCTCTTGTAAATGTAATGTATAATTATAAGTAAAATATTCATCTGACATTGTAAAAGCTGTAAAACCATTTTGAAGTGCTGAAAGACATTCTAATTCGAATGCTAGTATCTAAATAAAAATAAATATATAAGATAAGAAAATTTTCCTTTGATATTATTCGAACTTTTTTTTCTAAAATATGTTCAATTCCATCAGTTGAATTGCATTTTAATTCATACTGTTGCTGATTGTCAGTAATAAGTGCTGGTGAACAAATTTGTCCACGATTACGATCAATAAAAACAAAATGTACAAGACCTGGAAAATCATTATGACAACTAAAATAAATCAATAATAAAAATTTTATTTTTATTTTTTATCTACGAACAAATTCATAGTAATATTTCGTTGTGATTTAACTTCAATAAATGAAAACCAATCTTCTAATTGTAATATAATTTTTTTTCTAAGCATTTTTGTCATACGTGATGTATCATATTCATTTCGTCGAAATCTTGTATCAATTATATCAATACCATCCATTTGTACATCTACTTCATGATCATGATCAAGATCTATACTACATCGACGAGCATAATCGTCCGAATCAAAAAATAAATGACGAAATACATCCGTTGATAATCGACTCATTTCAGTTAAATTACGAAGAATACGAAGACCTCTTAAAACAAACAAATTAATTTAAATAAATCGAATTTCTTTTGTTATTGAATATGAATTACTTGCGATGTCTTTCATCTATATTACCATTTGATTTGAATGATGATTTATGTAATACATGTGCTTTATTTAATGTATCGGATAGGACATTCGATGGATGACCCACACTTTCAAACTATATGAGTAAAACTTTCTTTTTATTTTACATAAATAAATATTCTTACATATCGTCGAACAGCTGGACTACCTTCAACAGATTTCACTTGTGGACTTAGTTTATCATATGAAAATAATCCATGTGAAGTGTAGGAATCAAGATGACGAATAAGTTCATATAAACTTGAACAAACTGCACTATTTTCCCACTAGAATTTTAAACATAAGGCGTATTATTTGATTTTTATAGAAACTTACTTCGACAAGAATAAGAACTGACACATTATCTGTTAATGGTATTGTAAATAATGTAAAAGGTGCAATAATCTTATTCGATGTTCTTAAGAAAACAATTTCACTACGATGAGTTATTCCAGATTTATCACTTGATGTTGATGATGTTGTTGATGTTGAAAGGGAAAAATTTGGACAAGAATTTGTCTATTAACATAAGAGAACTTCTAGTCTATAGAATACGAAAAATAAAATATTAATTTACTCGTTCGGTTAGTTGAGATGGAATACTAACAACACTAGTTCTTGCTGAATTGATTATATTTTCATTAAGATTATTCATACTTTGTTGAAATTTATGTGCCATTACATTTGTTAGATTAATTTGTTGTTCAAATTCTTGTCGTAATGATCGACTTGTATTATTAAGAACAAGAAGAAATAGATCAGCATTATTCGGACGACTTTGATCAGGACTAAAATTAAAGTCTTATTTTATGATATGTTTCAATATTTCATTTACCTATGATACATATGAACAATTTTATCATTGCATGTAATAAGTATTATTTTTCGTGGAACTTTAAGTGAATTTTGAATATCATTACTAATCATATTACAAGTTTCACGGCAATGTTCACGAATTAATGAATTAATATGAAGATATTCACAACTCTAATTTATAAAATAAGATATAAAAATCAAAAAAGATCATATATCATACTTCGAATAAAAGAGCTTGATTAGTTGTTACATTGTTAAGAAAATATTGTAATGAAGCTGATATTCGATTTATTAATTGATCGGCAGTATTATAATGTCTATTATAAAATTTTATCGATAAGTGAAAACTATTCAATTAAAATACTTACATAAATGGTAAAGCACCAATATGAAATTTAATTAATGCTTTTAATAGATTTATTGTTTTCAATACAATTGTTGTGTCAAATGATTTATCAGCCATGCATACAACATTATTTTCTGCAATCTATTTTTATTCAATAAGAAAAAAAGATTCGAGAAAATATTTTTTTT